GTAATCACTCGTCCCAACGTCATGAGCCCTGTGGTCACTGGCAGGATCCAGCAAGAAGCGCGTTCACTGTGTCACAGCACGAACAAAGCATATTCAAAGAACTAGAACAGTGATAACTGGACGAACTACGGTTTACGGTGTACGACGCGAGATGCCGTGGCTAGTGGTGTAAAATACAGAACTGCAGAGCCTTGCGAGTTAAGTAAGGCACATTCCGCTTGCTCTTGTGTTGTGCCGTTTATGTTCATAAATTTAATTGTTCATTCCACGACCTATTAAATGCAAAGCATTTCTCAGCGAACTTCGGCGACTTTGAGCGCATCTATCTATCTATCTATCTATCTATCTTTCTATCTATCTATCTATGTATCTATCTATCTATCTATCTAGCCGCCTACAACTTTTAGCTCTCCTGGCCGTTGCGATAATGGTATCGATACCAAACTTGGTATGGCATAACATGACTGTATGAAAAACATATGTGACTAGTCATGACATGAAAGTCATGACATGTATGTCATGAATGCCATAATTTGTATTTCATGGTCCTGCAGCTCTTGCTGTGGTTTCGTTCACATGGCTTGTTGCAAAACTGGCATGGTATGACATGATGGCATGAAGAACACAAGCGACAGATCCTAACATGAAATCTTGATATGCGTGTGATATAACAACATGACTACATGTCACGCTCATGATGCGCTCGCGGCCGTTTCACTAGCGTCACATATACCAAATTTGGTATTACAGTTCGTGAATGGATGACGATGGTACGTGACTGGTGCAAACATAATAATCATGAGATGCGAGTCATGTAACAACTTGACTGTATGCCACGCTGGTGATGCGCTGGCGGCCATTTCGCTAGCTTCAGTTATACCAAATTCGGTATTACGAGACGTGAATAGACGACGAAGGTATGATACTGGTGCAAACATGATAAACATAAAATTCGTGACATGTAACAACATGACTACATGCTACGCTCATTATGCACTCACGGCCGTTTCGCTAGCTTCACACGTATAAACTCGGTTTTACGCGACGCAAATAGACGACATAGGTAAATTACACATCCAAACATGATAATCGCGACATGCGTGTCATGTAACAACATGACTACATGCAACACTCATGATGCGCTCGAGGCCATTTCGCTAGCTTCACATATGCCAACTTTAGCATTGCGGCCCCGCCGCGGTGGTCTAGTGGCTATAGTATTCGGCTGCTGACCCGCAGGTCGCCGAATCGAATACCGGCGGCGGCGGCTGCACTTTCGATGGAAGCAAAAATGCTGAGGCCCGTGTGCTCAGATTTGGGCGCACGTCAAAGAAACCCAGGTGGTTAAAATTTCCGCAGTCATCCACTACGACGTCTCTTATAATAATATGGTGGTTTTGGTATGTTAAACCTCCCATATCAATCAAATTTCTTATTACGTGACGTTAATGAATAACCAAGGTATGTGACTGGTGCAAACATGAAAATCATGAGATGGATGTTCTGTGAGAACATGACTACATGTCATGGTCAATTCGCCAATACATTTTGACGTGAGGTGATGCGCGTGCTCGCCGGCGTTCATTTCGTCGCGCCACGCCAGTTGCGACGCCAGGCGCCGGTTTTCCCATATGCTCGCGGGTGTGCGCCGCGCTGCGTTGCTTTAACGTATCCGCGTTTCAGCGCGTCCGGCATACCTCTGTCACGAAAAGAGGGAGACGCAGTGTTGCCTGGGTAACGCACCGGCGCAAAATACAGCATGTCGCATTTCACGCCGGTTGCCGTCGGACCGCGCCGACGGACGCTGGTCGCCCCTGGCGTTCCCTAACGTAGCGTCGCTGTGTCCAGCGTGCGCACGCGTCAACGCTACATTGGAGTATATTGGGCCCTTCATGATGCGATCGCGGCCGTTTTACTAGTTCCACATAAATTGAATTCAGTGTTACGTGAAATCAATGAATGACAAAATATATAACTGGTGCAAATATGCCAATCCTGACACGCGTGTCATGAAACATGACAACATGCCACGCTAATGTGTGCTCGCGGCCGTTTCGCTAGCTTCACATATACCAAATTTGGCATCATGTGACATGAATAGATGACGAAGGTAAACGACACATCCAAACATGATAATCATGACAGGGAAGTCATGTACGGCATCATTTACCTCTACCTGGTAGCGTTGTGTTGATTTTAAAGTGACATATCAACCTTTCTTATTCGTGCTTCGCATATGAGTGATTCCCACTGTACGTTGAATTTGCCATTTTTTCAACGTGTTTTGTTTCATTTATATCTTTTCACCATAACAACTGAACCTAAACATTCACTTTTTGATGAAAGTTTCGAACGTTTTAGTGGCGCTCCAAGAACATAGGTGAGGAGGAAACGGAAATACGTCGCTACCTTGGAAACTTGTTTCATCTAGGGACCCTAACTCAAGCAAATATGTCGCGCTGTCTCATGGCGCAGTATGAAACCACTGGCTGGGGCTTTTTCGAACTTAGAGTTGTAAAAAGCTTCAACCACACAGAAATGTTCAGTTAACCTTATGTTTTGCTTCTCGATTACACAAACAAGTTCACAACAAGATCTCTGTGAGCACATCGGTGCCAGTACAAGCAGTGTGATTCGCGTAGCTGCCCTTAGAAACGTGGAATGGGCTTTTTTCAATAAAAAAACATCTCGTCAATCATTCGCGTTGGTCCGTTATGTAATGACGTAAGGGCACGAACACACTGGAGGGAAGTGTCCCGCCGCGGCACTACGCGCGTCTTCGCCGTTCCGCCGCGTGGTAAAAGCGGCACGCTGGTCACATCCACAGGAGTCACGTGACAACCGTATTCAGCGGTCTCGGAGCGGCTCACGAGATATCACGCGCTTTTTTGTCGCCTGTTCTGACATAGCGTCCTGGATTTCCTTGCCTGCCGGATGAGCACGAAACGCCCATCATCTATGGCAGCGCTGCCTACCTAGTGGGGAACGGGTTTGCACTTAGCCTTTCAGATTTACAACTTTGGCATTTGCTAATTTCGGAGGCTATGCCTTCTATTGAAGGGGTTGCCGGTTGAATGAGCGCGAAACGCCTGTCATCTATAACGGCGTCATTTACGTAGGGTTAATTATAGTTACGTTTACGCTTTTTTAAAACTTTTTACGTTATTTTTGTTGCATATAACTTCCCAAAACGTGAAAACTTATATGAAGACATCCCTACTCAAGTAGCGCCACCACCATAGTTCCGATGACGGCCGCTTCCCAAGTGACCGCCGATAGTCTGGCAGGCAAGGGAAATAAAATCTAGGAGGCTTTGGTTCCGAGCTCTCCGACTTTTCGGTGCAATCGTGCGGACAATGGCAGACGACGACGATCTTCTTCCAGCGCTCAACGTTACCGTGATAACGTGTCTGCTGTTGCTTCGGCGTCACCGTTCTCGAAATGCGCCGCGAAATGTTTGGGTCCATCCGCTTTGGAAATACCGAGATACCGAAGGACAAGCACACACACTGCTTCCGCGTCTTCGTTCAAGGGATGAAGTCTAGATGTGCTGTGTCTCGCGACAGCTGGCGGGCCCTCACCGCTATTGTAGGCTTCACCGCATGACCTTCCAGTATCAACCAATCTGTAGCACGACTTCATTGCGAAAAGTAGAATTGATAAATGAACGTGCAATGCATAATTTACGTACAATCACTTTTAATGGCATGTGGTGTTTAAAACAGCTTTCGCATGGATGGGGTGCCCTGCTGTATGACAGGAAAAAAACGATCATCTTTGAGTCGTAAATAATTTTCTTTGAGCGACATCTCGGGAACGTGCACGTCAAGCTGAAGGGTCGGTCAGTATATTCTGGAGTCTCCCAGGAAAATCAAAAGAGTTGGCAGGCATGAAACAGGTATCGTACGTGCGCTGCAATATGAGACGGTTCCTAATTGATCACTCCCTTTTCCACATAGTGAGGTGTCTGCGCCAGCATGCTGTCAATTATGACAAATAGAGGCCACCTAAATTTTCCAGCATTGCCTGGCACACCGCTCCAGGTTGTCACCTCTACGCCCGACACAAGCTTCATTCATCTGTCCCGTATGTTCATGAACTTCAACATGGCCTGTGTTACTGCATGATAGAGTCAATAATTTGTTCGCACTCAACATGCAGTGAGCGACGCAATTACTACTTATCGATCAATACAAACATAGATCCTATAATACCACAATGGTTTATTTTCGCCTCCTTGTCTTTGTAGTCGGGGATCGTTTTATTATAGAGGAATGGGTAAAGTATAACTTCCACTAAGAAGCGTTTGGAGTCCATGGTGCCGTTGTCAGATCGTCTACGCTCAGAAATCGCGCTTCAAAAAACGACGGTGGCTCCGCCGTGGTGGTCCAGTGGCTAAGGTACTCGGCCGTTGACCCGCAATTCGCGAGATGGAAATTTGGCTGTGGTGGCTGCATTTTAGATGGCGGTGACAATGCTGTCGGCCCATGTACTCAGATTTGGGTGCACGCAAAAAAGAACCCCAGGCGGTCGAAATTTCCTGAGTTCTCTACTACGGGGTCTCTCATAATCATATGGTCCATGGTTTTGGGACGCTAAACCCGACATATCACTTAATCGAATACAACGGCGCAAAAAAAGAAAGAAAAGAAGCCCCGTGCGTTGCTATGGCGACTACTAGGCTCGTCGCTGATTGGCGCTTTGCTTGAGCGGCAGCGGCAGAAATATCGCAAGGAGAGATGTGGTCGGTCGGGAAGAAATCTTTCCCGCTCAGCTACAAAACGAGCCAAAATCGGCGTCTCGCGAGCGGTGCGCGGGAGAGTGCCGCACCGCCAGTGTTGCTCTTAGTACTTGCCGTGGGTCTAACGTCCGCTGTACGCTTCAAGGAGGAGCATTGACATTGCGAGGAATGCCAGCACGGGAAGCTAAACTCACGCGCGACCCAACATCACCTTAACGCTTTCCCTGCTTCACTGGTCTTCTTTGTTCATGCTTTTCAGGGCTTAGCTGGGAAGAAACTACCCACCTTTCTTCCGATGACGTGTACCCAGCATGCCACAATGCCGAAGACTCAGTGACCATATCTGGCCCCGCAGAAGCAGTTGCCAAGGTAGTTGCGCAGCTGACATCTCAGAACATCTTCGCTCGAGAAGTTGACAGTCTAGGAGTCCCCTTTCACTGCAAGCACGTCCACAACGTTGGACCAGCGCTTCGCGATGCCCTTTGCAAGGTACATTGTCTGCACGAAGGTGCAATGATCCGTGTTAAGCCCTACTGTTCACAGGCGTTTACAATTGTTCAAGGCCTAACAACATGTACGTTTTTACACTCGTGTGGTAGCGAGCCTTGCGTTCATAGCTGGGTGCGCTTTGTGAGGAATGACAGTTTCTAAGCCCACTTTACGAGCTCGCTGCAAGCAGGTTGCTATTGATAAGTGCTACTTCATATGGAGATGCTTATGAATCTCACCATGCAGAATATAGGCAAGAGGACACTCTGCCGATCAAGCTAGTGCCATACGAACGCATCCTCAAGTGCAATGCACATTGCTGTTAAATGCTGTTAAAGGCACGACGCGGCGTTTGTGAATCAGCCAATCAATCTTATGAAATGCTTCAATATGACTAAATATGTACAAAGTGTGATTGTAGATGAGTATGCATATTTGTAAGCCTAGTTGCATGTGGTGACGTACTATAGCGGGTACCCAAGGATTACCGATCTGGTGCTGCGATGGGCCCGGCTGGCTAGGCTGATACAAGGCTGACGGAGCACAGGAAAGCATTCTCTAGTAATGCTTACACACACTTAAGGCGGCATTGCTTAGAGTTTGGCTGCTTTCCGCTGTTCTCTGAGACTGAAATACTTTCCAGTCACACGGATCAAGTGACCAGGAAAGTTATTGAGGCTTTCCACATCTCTAAAAAAAGATAATTGCATTAGCCAAGCATTGATTAGTTTAAGCAATCGCGAATTGTGCTTTTTGAAAATTATGCTGTAGCCTGAACGTCATTATAACACGTGGTACACTGCCTTGTTGTATATAAACCACGTTCTTCTGCGAAATAAACTATAGTTGAGAGTGCAGCTGTGTCCCTATCGTTCCTTTCATGCTTGTCGTCCTGCGCTGCTTCATAAGTAATATTACCGATCAATAGGATATTATCTAGGTATTGTCGCCTTCAGCGCTGTCATCAAGCAATGACCGAAATATCAAGACCTTGATTTTCACTGACCTCTGCTTCTACGTGCCTACGCTCTTTCTCATCCAGGTGATTCCTGAACCTAAGCGGCGTAGCAAGCGCTGGATAAGCTCCTCAGTGCCAGAGAGCCTCTGGTGTGAACCTCTGGGACAGTACTGCTCGGCTGAGTACCAAACAAACAACTTCCTCTCGCCCGTGCTTTTTCGCGAGGCTCTTCAGCACGTGCCCCAAGACGCGATCATGGTGGAAGTCGCCCCACACTGTCTCCTACAGGTGGGTGTGCAGTCAGGCAACACTGTCGTTTGTATACTTCTGTATACTTTTTTTTCTTAAATTGTATAGTTTTGGGTTCAAAGGGCGACAACTAACCTAAATGATCTGCCCAATGAATAATATTTACCAGCAAGCAGCAAGCAGGCGTGACGTACAGTTGTGGCAAAGACCAATGGATGAATATGTATTTATTCGTTCATTTATATATTTATTTGTTTATTCATTGATTCATTCAACTTCCAGCTTAGGTACTCAATATTAAACAAACTACACACATAATACCATGCAGTCTTCACCTTAATGTAATTACACTTGGCAGGACACTGTCACACGCTGCAGTGCGTTCCCCTTAGCTAGGACACTCTCGTAGCGTCGCTCTATGTATACGTCACCGGTGGTGACTACGAAACAGAGCTTCCAATCTTCGAAGAGAATCATTGTTTCGCTGCCCTGGAAAGCGTATCGTCGGCATGCTGGGTCACTTCCACTGTTAAATGAATAAAAACACTCGTACGTGTTTTTATGTTGGGCATAATAGTTTTTCAGACACGGCATCCCACAAGATCCTTGCAGGTGGGCGTACTCGATACAGTGATTTAGAACAGCCGCAATGACAAAGAATATCAATGAGAGTGCACAGCATATTTTATCAGAAACAGCCTAAATATAGGCAGGTTAGCACAGAGGTGCCAAATAAACAAACTAGAGCGGACAAGCATTAGCAACGGGAGATACATAAGAAGCTGCAACCACGTTTGTGCCGTGATTATTCAGATCAAAGATGAAGGCATACATCGACACGTGCGGTACGGTTGAAAAAAATGGCAGCATACCCACGGAGTGAATGATGGAGAGTGAACCGAAACATTCGTCCATCCATGCGTCTGTCTGTGTGACCCTTCATGCGTCCATCCGCCCGTCTGTGCGTGCGTCTGTTCGTGCGTCCGTGCCCGCGTTCAACCATGCATCCGCTCCTGCGTCCGTTCATGCGTCCATCGATGCATCTGTCTATGTGTCCGCTCGTCCATCTATTCAACACTTAAGTAGCACCATCTCGTATTTTTTCATCACATAATCCCCATATAGAAGCACCGCCATTCGGCGAACATTCCAAGGACTAAACGAGAGGTGGCACACACACGCACACACTTTCTTACAGCTTGCACTTCAGGTCTTCTTCTCACCTTTGACCACCTCGAGCTCATGGTATTGACTAGTTCACTGTATTTATGACACTGCGGCCCAACGCTCGCTAAACCTTTTTAAAACCAAGGAGGTTACACCCAGCGAATATAACTTAGCAATTTTTTCCTGTTAGATAGTGCTCCATATACATGCCAAAAGCTGTTAATGGGAAATGAGAGACAGGAAAATTCGGCTTTTACGGATGGCGGTGCTTCTAGATGGGGAATATATGATGAAAAGATGCGAGATGGTGGTACTGGAGTGTTGAATAGATGGATGAACGGCCACACAGACAGATGCATGGACGGACGCATGAACGGACGCAGGGGCGGATGCATGAACGAACGCAGGGACGGACACACGAACAGACGCAAGCACGGACGGAGAGAGGGACGCATGGACGGACAGCAGCCAGAACGAATGAACGGACGAATGCTTCGCCCCACTCTCCATCATTCGTTCTGTGGATATGCTGTTAAGTTTTTTATTTATCTTCCTTGCTTTTCTTTTATGCTCTTTCTTTCACTTGTGTGTCTTTTTCACATCACTTACAATCTATTTCTTCCGTACTCTCTTTCTTTCTCTTTCTTAGTTTATTGCAGTTCTTTCTCTTTTTTATCGTTTATCTTCCCCTGTATTGCTTCCTGTTTCTTTCACTCTTTTTTGCTCCTCTCACTTTTCCTCTCCGTCTTTTTTTCGGGTATTTTCTCTTTGTATGTCTTTATTTTTTCTATTTCCATATTTCTCTCTTCCTCTTTTAATCTATTCATTTATTCCTTTCTGTGTCTGTTTTTCTTTCGTTTTATATTTGTGTATTCACTCACTGCTTTCTCTCTACTCTTTTACCTTACGTTTACATCGCTGTTTCTTTCTCTCTCTCTCTCTCTGTATATGTGTATGCTCCCTTTTGTATTTTTCCCTGTGTGCCTTTATCAATTTATGTTTTTTTTATTTATTTCTACTCAATTGTTTGAAGATATTTGCCACCTCTAGTATTCTCTCCATCTCTCTTTTTTTACTCCTATGACGTTGACAGGAGTTGACACATCAGAATGCTTTGCGTAAATTTATTGTTTAGAAGGTGCTTGTAGTCCGTGGCTTTGTCTCTCTTGAAAGTTCAGGTTGGGGGAGGGTAGAACCTGCGTCGCAGCCAATAGTACTGCAGCAGTCCGCTGTATAATAAATGTAGCGATTCGGTTACTCTTGTTGGTTTTCTGGTTCGGGGGGAGTACCGACTTTTGTGTAGGGTTGATGCATTCGCAGGCCGATGCGTGTGCCGCATAGTCTCCCTTGAGTTTGTTGTGACCGGTAACGCCGACAACGCAGGTGTATGAAGGAGGAGTATGGACGCGTTTCAGTTTTTATGTATTGTTGGTTGTTGTTTACCGCCTTCTGAAGGCAGTCTTCTTGGGCATCCGTGCTTCCACCTCTCGTTCACGGAGTAATATCATTACCGTATAACGCATGATGCATCTCTGGGGCAGTGTTCAAGAGACAGAGATGCTTGAAAAGTGTCACGACAAAAAGAATTGGTGAGACCACCAAGCCCTACGGCTTACTTTTCTGAGAAAACTGAAAATGCTTGCTCCGGATGTTGACTATCCTCACAGCAGCCGTACTGTTGGTGATGAAAGCAGGCAGGTATGCTTATGTTTGTTTTCGCGCCACAGCCGATGTCTTCTAAATTGCAGAGAATCGCGTCATGACTTTCGTTGTCAAACGTGCCCTTCACAACCGCCGCTAGGATTATGACTTCCTGTGTTTTCGGAAGCGCAGAAGGACTTCTCTTAACTGAAAGAGGACATCCTTTATGGAAAGCATTTAATGGAAGTCAAACATGGTGGTCGGCAAATGACTATTTCCTTCGAGGTGCGCGGTGAGCCACTCGTTGACCATGTGGTCAAACAGTTTCCAGGCGCAAAACGTAAGAAAAACTGGGCGGAGATTAAAGATGGAAATCGGCTTTTAGCTCGGGTAGCATGATCACCTCTGAGTGCTTCCAGGCTGTTCGTAGCTTCCCTTTAATTCAGAAGTCATCATAGTATTGAAGCAGCGTCGTCAATTCCATGGAGGGTAGCTGTCTTAAGTGCTTGTTAGTGAGTGTCATAGCCCGAATTTGTATTGCGTGTCAGCTCAGCGAGACGTATACTTTAACCGTGAAATATCACAAAAACACAATATAGAAACACATAACGACAAAGACAAGCGCCACTTCTTACTAAATTAGACTGAGCGATAACCCAGAAACATACATGCAACATATATACATGGGCAGTATTCACCTAGCCTAGCACTATCCAGCTTTCAAAGGCCAACAAACAGTCCTAATAGCTTAGCAATGGTCGAGTTTAACCTGGTCAGCGTAAAAGGTCAATCTAGTTCTTTGTTTGGTACTTCCTCGAAGTTGGAAAGTTGTATAAGGTAGCTTGCAGATTATTAGGGTCAAGTAACTTGATCTCAAGAAATTGCAGCAGCTCCTCCTCTGTGCCGTTCTTGTGAATCAGCTGCTGCACTGTATGCCTTTGGGGCGTTTTGGTGTGGGTTTCACTGATCAGGGCTCGAAGAATGTGCCAGGACTTGTTTGTGCTCAGTATCTCTTAGAGTTGGTAGCAAAACGACGACAATTTCGGCTAGCTAGCTCTTCGACGTGCCCCCATGCCTGCATTGTAAGTATAACAAATGTACGTTTGAGCTTTTGGTTTAGCCTTTGCCATCGCCATTGTTTCAGAAGTAATAATCGAGCCTCCCTTGGAGGAAGAATATGATTATCAACTGCCTGGTTGTCTTCGTCCAGTTGAATCTATTTGGTATGACCATCAGCAACACCGACAATCTCGTTCAGCCAGGCTTCAATATCATCAATTATTGAGTCATGGCCAAGTTCTATACTTTGTGCGTTCGAGTCCGTAAATCATGTCTTTTCTGTTTTGGGTGATTGGTGAGCCTGTTCGACATAAATTTAAGCGATGTTGTTTGGTGCTGTTGATCGTACGTCCACTGCAGAATACGGCCCCATGGTCTTTCATTCTTGACGTCATGAAGTTGTGCTCTTGCGCCACAAAACAATCCAACCTCACGTGGAATGAAGAGACCATACAGTTCAGTGGCTAGACCTTTCCTAAGATTTTCGTAACCACCCTCTCTATTGTCCTGTCTACCAATGTCAAAAGTTTCTTCGTGAGAATTCGAAAGCTACGAGGAGTCGTTCAACGACGTCGAGCATCTTCACTTGATGCACTTGCAGCCGTTCCTCTACTCGCTTTGTTAAGCCTGCTTCTACTTGTCTTAGATTCCTGTCTTCAAGATCTGGCGTGCTGTGACAGGCTGATAGTCCTTGTCTTACTGTCTTCTGTAGTTCTTGAGCTTCATTTTCTAGCTCATGCATTGTCGCTATCTCAGCTGGAGAGAAGTCGGAAGCGATCGCGGTGTGTTGGGAACTGGGTCCATTGCTTCTACGCACCACGGCGGCGTAAGTTATTACCTAGCGGATCGAGACTACGATAGTGTGCGAGATCCAGAGCTTGGTTTTCGTTCAAAATGAGAGTGGTTTCTGCCGGGATCCTGGTGGAGTGAGAAGGCCTTAGGGCTGTCAAAGCTGGTGACTATTTAGAGGAAGTCAGTGGACCTAGAACTCCATCGATGCTTTCGGGTACGAAAATTGTCAAGCTGCTGTCGTCTTATTCGGTATGGAGGAGGGTGTACTGCTACAGAGTTTCTTCCTACATTTATTTCTGGCAGACTCGTGGTCTTCGCAGCAAATCTTGCATTCAGGTTGACAGTCATGAGTGTCCATGTTTCCTTCGCTGCCATATTTGTAGCAGAAGTTGGCTTTAGAATGCAGGCAGATGTCTTGTCTGTGACCGATGTCGGCACAGGTTCTGCAAGACTGTGCAGTTATCTGTAACCCCCACTGAGGTAAGTTACGTAAAAAAGGTCGTGCTGTCTGTCGAAAAAAAATATTTATGCGGCTGTGGAAGATCTGAGCATGCGCACATCAAAAAAGGTGTATTTTGAGTCCACGCGAAGACCTGCAACAATCTCCGCAGGTTTGTGCCCGTTTCGACGCCGTAGATCGTTGCACGGCACAAGTCATCGGAGTGTCCAGTGTGCACAATTGACTTGAAATATCACTCCTACGAGTTGTACAGCGTTTATACGTTGCAGTTTGGAAGCTCCTACAGTGATTGCTGTGCTTGCTATGACCACATTCTGAAGTTCCTGCACCTGCACTCCTTCCTACATTATCGAGGAATGCTAAGTCGAGAAACCGGATCATCCAATGGCATGTGCCACTTTGATCAGCGTTCGCTTTAAAAGATCAAGTCGTGCTTGCGGGCGGAAAACAATTCTGAAGTCATCAGCCGGTAAGCATCGCATCTTAATACTGCATTGACGTATGGTTTCTGGCTTTAGCGGTTATCTAGCTCTTTCTTCAGCTAACCCATTGTCTTCTTCAGCTGACCTGCCTATACCGCCAGCTTGTATCCACTCAGTGTGACATTTACCTGACATTTTCCCACTATTTGCTGTGAACTTGCCGTCTGAGTTTGTTCTTGAGTTACCCTCCGTGTCATCATCTTGAGCCATACTAGGGTTTTCTTGGCGTAAGTTATTCACCTGCATTTCCATGAATGTGCTGGCTCTTAACCTCTGCTCCTGTTTTTGGGCATCGCGTTACGTACCGCCAGCACGAGCCACTGGTTTACAGAGCCTTTCGTGAGCCCGTCCTTGTGAAAGAGCATTGTGCGCGTGCTGCGCGGGCCTCTGGGAACTTTGATGTCGTTGTATTCAAGGGAACCATCACAGTAAGTTCAGTGTTCTATATCTAAAAAGGGGCACTTACTGCAATGCGTCTGGTGTCAAACGATGCCTTGAAGTGGAAGAAATCCCAAATTACCAAGCACGAGCAATGTCCTGGCAGGGTCGTGCATGAACAAAAGCATAATAAACTACGGTGAATATGGCTAGACGTCAATACTGTCCATAAGTTTCGCTAATTGTTTTGACGTATACGTACCTAAATGGCTTTGGGATGAAGCATCTCATGCTCAGCAAGAAGACACACCTATTTCTGCAAGGTGCACCACAATATCGATGAGGGAGTAATGCAAAGAGTCGGGTAGTTTATAGAGGTGCATCGTATAAAACCACTCATTTTTGGGCTGAATACCGTCCTTGTTGAGAGGCGTGTGTGATAGAATTATTGCAGAGGATGATCGTAAATATGCACATGGTCTGCCATAATTCATCACATGTATCTTATATTAACCATATAAAAGAAATATTGTTCACTCCAACCATATTTGTGACTTCCATATGCATTGTCAGGTTTCTGCATCTTACAGTCATTCCTATTTCATTGTTGTGGTTAGAGCTGAAGAAAAGTGGAATGAATGAGTGATCATGGAGTGCTCGGTAATATGTAACACGGTTGATTAGTGGAATTCAACACACTCAATATTCTTGCTATGAATTCTGCTTTTCTTTGTTCTCACAAATAACGCATAACCGAAGTGCAACGCCCTAAGAAAGCTGAAGTGGTAGTTCTACATCATCAATTTTAGACACGTTAAACATTTCCTTATGTGCGTGATTAGGCTGCAATAGAGAGTAACTCACAGCCTAATTTAAAACAAGTGTCTTACGCAAAGGGAGCTGCGGGAAATTGAAGTTTCTCTCCCTCACAAACTGTGCTTTTTGTTCTTAAGAAATCATTATTTACCTGTCTATTTGAGTAAGCCGTGGTCCACCACAGCTATGTTTTGCCTTCAGGATGCGTGTGCTCTGCCAAAGTAAAGGTGGTGGCATTTACTATTTTTGGGGTACTGAGTGGTTTACACAATATTCACTTCCTTTGTGGTAGCTGCCAAATGTAACTGTTGATCTAGATTCTTTACTAGAAAAAATAATGGAGCCTTGTTTGTGTGGTTATTTTCATTTATTTATTATTCATTTATTAAGGCATGGAGCTAATGTAGCTAGAGGGAAATACTTTGCCATCAGGGGAAAAATTGCCTCCACCTCCCTGAATGGAGTCGTCAATAATTGTGAATGCATTTCTTGCGCTCAGAGAGGGTACGATTGCTGTCAAACATTCGCCTTCACCAACTTTTGCCATCGCTTTGAGAGGCGCCCACCCAGTGAACGGTTGATAGTGAGGAAAGAGCGGGCGGGAGAGTAAGGCGCCAGTGTTCTCGGCTCAGCGTTGGCGTTTCACGGCGGCTTCTAGAGCCCCAATTCCCGGATGTTTTTGAGAGGCGTCCAGCCAGCGAACCGTCGAGAGTGAGGGGCGAGCAGACGGGAGAGTGGTGCGTAGGGAGGAGAGGAGTAAAGAAGCACCGCACCTACACTCTGCAACACTCTCTCGCAACACATGCTCTAGTTTTTAGGAGGGAGGACAACCGTGCACGCCCGCAGCCGTTGCTATGGGAGAGGGAGGGAGAGCGAAGAGATAACACGTGCCTGCTCGCGGACGCAGTGGAGAAATCCGGATGCCTGACATAGCCCGACTAAATATGCAATCGCATTTAAAACCATGCGCGCCTTTCGCGTAGCTGCGCATGCGCTGAGGAACAGCCACTTCAAAGTAACGCCCGCCAAATGAAATACGCTGCGCAGAGGCCACGCCGAATCTACGTGGCATGACGCCAGCCGAATAGGAACAAAAAAAGTCCCGCAGTTCAGCCGAAAACGGACCGCTAAATTAGCTTTTTAGTTCCTGACGCCACAGTGTGGACATTCTTCAATGTCTGCGACAAGCTGCAATTTCAATCTGCTACGCTAATGAAAGACTTAGCATAGGTCAAGAAAGCTAGGTTAGACTTCACTGTTTTTTAATATTACCCGGATACTTTAAACTATATTTATTTATATAGAAGCCTGAGAGCTACGCAACCTGGAAGAATATTCTTTGTAGCATGAAGTAATTACGAAAACTCGCGGCAAGGTTCTCCAGCACAGTTCACTACAGCTTTCCTTCAGCAAGCTCGAAAGCGTGGGCATGACTCAAAGACGCCGTGGACGCGCCTCGATGGTAGAAATATGCAAAAATGGCAGTGTATGTTTACACTTGGAGGCACGCTGATGAACATTAGGTGATAAAAGTTAGTCTTATGTCTGGCACTACAGCATGCCATAAAGCGACGCCATCATGCTGGCCGTAAAGTTGAGAACATAATTTTCGTACTGGCTTGTATTGAAGGAGCAGCCATCTATATTCCCGTGTTGTTCTTGCACTGCACGCAGGCCATCCTACGTCGCGTCGTAGGCCCCGACGCGATCTCTCTGGGCGTGATGAAGCGCGACGTGGGCAACAAGGAGTATTTCTTGGGCTCGCTGGGAAAACTTCACAATCTAGGATTCAAGCTGGATCTGTCTCCCCTTTATCCACCGGTTCCATGGCCCGTGCCCCGTGGCACTCCCAGCATAGCACATCTCGTCAGCTGGGACCACTCGCAGCAATGGCATGTGGTTAACTGGAAGGAATCTGCGTCACAAACGGTGAGCTTATCTGATTGTGCTTCTGAAGTTTACGTGAACTGATCAATTTCCAACTTCATTCTGTTATGACTATTTATTGCGGGCCTCATTTTGAGGAGTGACATTTAGCCCATAAAGCACGAATACTTCAGAGTTGTATACTGTGTGGTTGATGAAGTGTACAACTATTATATCAAGTTTATCTACATGTAGTACAGTCTCATGTTTAACCTATGACTTCTGAATGCTATATTCGACCAAAAGCTCTTTTACAATGTTATCTTTCTAAACCCTTCGGAACTCATGGATTCTTCATTTTCATGTAATGATGGTATAAAACATAGCTGCCACGTACACGATGCTGAAATGATCTGACCATCCACGTTCAAGTAACGTAGCATGAAATTTATTCGTGACTGTGGCGTTCTCGAACAGACACACACAACCAAGGAAAGCTGGGTATCTTCAGCAGCCAGCCTTCTTTAAAAGCTTACATCTTCTAACGTATGCACTTTAAACGCCTCATTTCAATGACTTCGCGCTGGTGAGTCTCCCCTTGAACTGTTCCTTCTGCACCTCACCAAACTCAGGTGGCCGAGGATATTGTGGAAATTGACTTGGAGGCCAACGAGGCAGACAAGTATCTGAATGGGCAACAAATGGATGACCGCGTGCTGTTCCCTGCGGCAGGATACTTGGTGCTGGCCTGGAAGTCATTGGCAAAGAAAGTCGGAAAGCCGTTCGATCAAGTTCCGGTTACATTTGAGAACATTTCCATCCATCGGGCCACAATAATACCCAAAAGCGGTAAGTTTTCGTCAATGTGTAGTTGTAGTTGCTGGACGTGTTCCAGAAAAGTTTAGTTCATCATTTTAGAACCCACTGATCTACTGATCTAGACGCACTACGGATTTAGGGCGTCGATGAAGTATATATAAACATCCTCGAAGAAATCTACAGGGGATCAACTGTTACCATAGTGCTTCATGAAGAAAGCAACAGCATACCAATCAAGAAGGGTGTCAGGCAGGGGGACACAATCTCCCCAATGCTACTTACCACGTGCTTACAGGAGGTTTTCAGAATCCTAGAATGGGAACAGTTAAAGATAAGAGTCAATAGAGAGTACCTTAGTAACCTGCGCTTCGCCGATGACATTGCATTGCTGAGTAACTCAGGCGACGAAATGCAACTCATGATTACGCAGTTAGACAAGGAGAGCAGAAAGGTGGGTCTTAAAATGAATCTGCAGAAAACGAAAGTAATGTACAACAACCTCGGAAAAGAGCAGCGCTTCGAGATAGGTAATAGTGCACATCAAGTTGTAAAAGACTATGTCTACTTAGGGCAGGTAATAACCGCGGAGCCGAACCACGGAATTGAAGTAACTAGAAGAATAAAAATGGGGTGGAGCACATTTGGCAAGCACTCTCAAATTATGACAGGTAGATTGCCACTATCCCTCAAGAGGAAGGTATATAACAGCTGTATCTTGCCGGTTCTTAGCTACGGAGCAGAAACCAGGAGACTTACAAAGAGGGCTCCGCCTAAATTGAGGATGACGCAGCGAGCATTGGAAAGAAAAATGGTAGGTGTAACCTTACGAGACAAGAAGACAGCAGAGTGGATTAGGAAACAAACGGCGGTTAAGGATATCATAGGTGATATCAAGAAGAAGAAATGGACATGGGCCGGGCATGTAGCGCGTAGACAGGATAACCGCTGGTCGTTGAGGGTAACTAACTGGATTCCCAGAGAAGGCAAGCGGATTAGGGGGGAGACAGAAGGTGGGCATATGAGATTAAGAAGTTTGCGGGTATAATTTGGCAGTAGCAAGCACAGTACTGGGTTAACTGGCGTAACATGGGAGAGGCCTTTGTCCTGCAGTTGACGTAGTCAGGCTGATGATGATGATGATGATGATGATGATGATGAGAAGGAGGAGGAGGATGATGATGATGATGATGATCTACTAAAGCAATGGACCATATGCGAAATTGCTTTGTGCTCTGGCAACACTGTGCATTTTGACCCCGCCGCCATTTTAATGTGGGCGAGCGGTTGACGGCAACGCGTTCGCTAGTACGGCCGTACGACACCTGAGCACTTGCTTCACTGCGCTGAGCTACTGCGATGGCCACAGCAAGACGTTTCCCAGTGCCCGAACATGTGATGTGGACAAACTGTTTAGGAATCTTGCACATGTCTGTCATTGCATCTTTCGGAAAGCGGTAGAAGGATACCTACAAGATATAAGCAAACAAACATTCAGTGCGACGTCACGAGCTAGGTTTCTCTAGTTGTTTAAACGATGGTTGTTTACAAATACAGGCACTGTCACAAATTCATCTCACAGGGAATAGAAGTCACACTTATATGTGCATTGCAGGACTAATGATGCGCTTCTAATGTGACCCCCTCCCCTTCAGTTTTTACTGTGCACACTCCCGTTTCCTAGCAGCCTTTCCTAGATATGGCCATTCACAGCAAGCCTTAAGAGGCACTAGTCACTTGTGGAAACTCGGGGGAATTTAAATGAGATACTTTTTATATCTAAGTAGCTTCAAAAGTTTCTAGGAGCTGCGAGTGTAAGGCAGCCAAAATGCCAAATCCCATACAACTAAGTTATGGCTGTCTCCACAGCTGTATGTTTTATATAGCAACATGAAACATTTTTCAATTGAGGTGAGTCGCAACACAAAAGAACAGCTGCAACGCAACTGAGCCAAAGAGACTAAAATGCAGAGCATAAATCCCGTCTTACGAATAAATAGGACTGCCGCGCTCTGAACTCACGCAGAATGTCCTTCAGTCAAGCCCTGGCGATACTCATGGTGCCAGTTTTCAAAACCTATGGCAGTGGGCCCCGCTATCTTTTCGATTTTATTTCGTTGGTAAAGGAAAATTATTGAGAGAGGCCCCAATGAAAAAGTTGCGTCCGCGCACGTTGGGGGAATCGAAGTACCTGAGCAGATACTTTTCTGTTCCAAAGTGGGTATAGCCCTTATCTTCTGAATGACTGTTTTATTGCTGCGCGGTGACCGTACTTGCGGACAAAACGGAACTTGAACGCAGACACACAACCGAGCTGCCTTTCTAGGATGCGTGTACGGCATGTTACTCGGAGTAGCGGAAGCTCTGCACGTCTCTGTGCGCAGTCACCTGCAAAAATGACATTTTCTACGTCGTCTACCTACATGGTGTCATCTCGGCACAAAAAAGCCCGTCCAAGCAGTTTGGTTCTGTCACACTAGTTACCCCACATGCAGTGGCGGATTCTCTATTCGACCGCAGGGAATCACCGGGGCTCTTCGATATACCATTTCAGACTCACCGCGGATAGTCTGCAATAGTCCGAGGCTTCCCCGAAGTCATAAGAAAATTTGAATGCCGCACAGCTTCTCAGTAGTTTCGAGACGGTAAATTGAAGAGCACCACTGTCGTGTAGAGGCCCGACGTAGTGAAAACACCTAGCCGCAAAGATGACAAACCTATAAAAACACAACCTGTCCGCGTAACACAGAAAAATGGTTAGTCCTGCATTGCTCTCGTGCAGCCTGCGCACCGCAGAGATACATGCATCTTAGACAGTGCCCATAAAGCTTGTGCACGCCATACCATGTTTTGCGTTTAAATGATCGCTGCAAAATCGTAATGCATGCCACATACGTTGCTCCCATCGCTGTCTGTGACTCCGCGCTGCTTCCACAGCGGCACACAACAGTGTACTGGCATTTCGCCAGCAAAAAAAAAAAATCTGACTGCGACAGTCGAAGCGTTGAAACGCATACGTTCGCATGTGGATCGCCCGCACGTAGTGGTCAAACCTCGCCAGCATCAAAATGGCGGATATGGTACCTGCTGCGTTCAATAGATGGCGCTGTTAATTTCGCATATTGTTAATTTCGCATATTGCTGATAACAGTGACATCAGTGGTCTACAGGCTGGCGATGCCGATTATAAAGGAAAGACTGCAGGCGTGAATAGAGGATGAGGGGGTGCTGGGGGAACTGCAGAATGGGTTTCGGAAACACAGGAGGTTGGAAGACAATCTGTTCTGACTGACGCAGTGCATCGAAATAGCAGAAAAAAAAAGAACACAGGCCCATGTGGCTAGCATTTTTGGATATCAAGGGAGCGTATGATAGCGTGGTTCAAGAGGAATTGTGGGGAATACTGGACACACTAGGCGTGGAACATGTAGTCACTAATCTTTTAAAGGGCATCTATAAAGGTAACAAGGTATTTATAAAGTGGGAAAAACAGGTATCCAAGCCTGCAGAGGTAAAACGGGGCCTTAGACAAGGGTGCCCCCTGTCACCCTTATTATTTATGATGTACCTACAAGGATTAGAGGCAAAATTAGAGGGAAGTGGACTGGGCTTCAACCTCTCTTTAGTCAAACAAGGAAAACTTATTGATCAGGCACTACCAGCAATAATGTACGCAGATGATATAGTGCTAATGGCCAACAACAAGGAAGATTTGCAGAGATTGATGGACATCTGCGGTAATGAGGGAGATAGGTTAGATTTTAGATTCAGTAGGGAAAAATCAGCAGTCATGATTTTCAATGACAACGAAGGTAGTGAGCTTAGAATACAGGAGGTCACGTTAGAGATAACAGATAAATACAAATATTTGGGCGTTTGGATAAGCAATGGGACCGAGTATCTGAGTGAACACGAAATATACGTGACGACTAAAGGTAACAAGAATGCAGCAGTCATGAAAAATAGGGCACTGTGGAATTACAATAGGTATGATGTTGTCAGAGGAATATGGAAAGGGGTCATGGTTCCTGGGCTGACGTTCAGCAATGCGGTCTTGTGCATGAGATCAGAAGTTCAAGCAAGATTAGAAATTAAGCAACGTGGAATAGGTAGGCTTGCTTTAGGAGCTCACGGGAATACACCAAATCAGGGAGTACAAGGTGATATGGGATGGACATCGATTGAGGGCAGGGAAGCTAGCAGCAAGATAAAATTTGAGAAGCGATTGAGAGAAATGGGGGAAGAGCGTTGGGCTAGGAAGGTTTTCAGCTACTTGTACATGAAGAATGTCGATACAAAATGGAGGAAGCGAACCAGGAAGTTGACTGGTAAATACTTAGAAAACAGCAGGTGGCCAAACCAAAACGAACTATCGGTAAAGAAAAAAGTGAAGGAAACGGAGAGTGACATGTGGAGAATGGGCATGATTAAGAAGTCCGCACTAGAGATCTATCGAACTTTTAAGCAGGAAATTGCCAAGGAAAGGATCTATGATAATACTCGGGGTAGTTCTGTACTGTTTGATGCCAGGACGGGAGTACTGCCAACCAAGACATATCGGTCCAAATACGAAGGGGTCGACACAGTATGCAGTGCGTGTGGAGAGGAAGAAGAAACTGCCGAACACTTGATAATGTTCTGTAAAGGGCTTCACCCTATAGTTCAGGATGATGGCGCAGAGTTTTTCAAAGCACTGGGATTTAGGGACAGCGAGGGCAAAATAAACTTTAAGCGGGTAGACTTAACTAGAAGGAGGTTATCTGATTGGTGGCTAAAGTCAAGGCACGAGTGAAAATTAAACCCTTCACTGCGAAGTACGAATCCTCAACTTCATTATTTAAAGGAAAAAAAAGGTAAATGTTATGGTTAGTTCACTAAGTATCACGGCTGGGTGGCGTTAGCCGCCGCCCGATCTAAAGGGTACGGCCACATCCATCCATCCATCCATCCATTGCCTATTGAAGTAAAAATATGCCTGGATATATTCCTGTAAGCAGATATGCTGTAGGCATTGTATGAACAAAACTCAGGGCTCAAGTTGAGCCCTGGGGGCTATATAAGGGTTGACCACATGACGTATACTTGCGTATTGACACTTTGGTATTCGTTAAACGACGTTTTGAGGGCCTACTTTGTGCCTATGAAAGAGAATTACATAGCACGAGAAAACACGCAGTGAATGAATAACACACAGGGGCCAAGCGCTTGTCCCTGCGTGTATTTTCTGGGTACTTCGTGTTTTTGGCGCTAAGTATTTCTCGTGAGCATGCGTATATTGTGATCACATGACTCCTTTTGATGCATTTAGGAAAGAAAACAGATACCACACACCATGAGAATCTACGTTATGCGGAGTATGCAAAGAAAAGACCACCGAGTTGTATTTTTTTCTTGAGCGACAGTCATGAAAGGACACCAACTATATACGTATAAATTTTGCTCCCAGAGATACATGTTGAAGAGTTGAAGATGTTTACACAACTAGTTGTTTGCACTTGTGCAAAGTTTCCAACAGGACCACCATTATTAGCAACATCAAAAACGATAAGCTGATGAGCAGCGATGGTATTCGCGAAGATAGAGGCCCTGGACACTTCTACATAAATCAACTTTAGTGCATGTGACCTAACTACAATGGACGTTAACGCGGCGTGACGACTGTATCATAGCAGTATATATGCGATGTTTATAAAATTGAATAGCCAGCACTGCAACCACAAGTGACGTTTCACAAACATTAAGGTCTACTTGAAAAGTAGTTCCGAGACCTGGCGTGGCTCTCCAGCGTAATGCCTAATTGCCACGCAGAATGCTTGGGTTGGATTCTTTTTTGGGACCCTGATATTTATCCTTCGCATCCGTCGGGTCCACACTGCTGATGTATAGTTTTTCTTCATGCTCATGCGTTGAAACTGCACATGCATGCTCTCTAATTCCTAGGTAGATAGTGTCAATCACCTGTGGCACATACCCGCATACCAGTGGCACGTCAACACACTTGGATAAGTGCCACTGTCTTGCAGGAAGTGTTTGACGGCATACGCGACGGGATTGTGACATGATTCATGTGATGACCAGGGCCTCTTATTTGTCAAACCATCTTACCCTCCCGTGGTAATTTTGGTACTTTTCAATGCCAAGTTAAGGGGGAAATCAGGATAGCACCGAGACGTAAATGGTTAGGTGGACATAGATAGATAGATTAGATAGATAGATAGAGAGATAGATAGATAGATAGATAGATAGATAGATAGATAGATAGATAGATAGATAGATAGATAGATAGATAAGCACCAAAAGTGGTTGTTGTACGCAAAGAAATGCTTCAAGTTCAAAAGGCGTAGTTCACTACATAACAGGTGCTATGCTTGAGTAATCACGCTTTCAAAGTACCAAGATGACTGGAGACATCACATACTCTTAGAGCAGATTAACAACTGCTTATATTTAGACGTTTTTTGCTACATATATACGCAAAAACACCATCGCAAAAACGTGAGGCGAGATGAAAACACCACAGGAATGCGCACAATGAAAGTTATTTTCACGGAAGGAATTGATTTTGAATATAATGAATTACACTGGACCAAGTTTGTCAGCATGTGCCTCAGTCTTGATATGATTTCATGATTAGTCGTTCCATTTCATGGAATCCACTCAACATGCGACGGTCGTGCTATCTCGCCATTGATGACGAAAACACGCTGAATTTGGCAAGCTCTGAGGACTGCCAATGACAAATGGCGTTTGTAAAGGTGTCGCTGATAACATGTTATTTAAGGATCTCTTTGTGGCATAGTGGTGAGTGTCGCGCATTGAGGAGTACAAAATCGCTGTTTTGACGCCCAGCGGCAAAACTTTCTTTCTCTATTTTTTCTTTGCAATCTGTTAGTAAATATTTCCTAACGTCATAACCGTGATGAACTTATGCTATAAAGCCGTGCTGTAAAACACTTTCCTGTTAAAAATGATTTTATCGCACGTGCATAATAAAATGAAAAAAAAACGCCAGGCCTGCGTGGAAGGCACAGCACAGTCACACGAAATCTAGAAGAGCGGCCTTTCAGAGCCTTTTGAAAACACTTATCGGGTAACTACTGCAAGCACACTTGCTCGATACCCACTAGGGCATTAATAATAAAGTTTTGGGTAGTACGCAGGGATTCGCTATGCTAATTTTTGTCATTCTTCTGAGAAGTGTTGCTTGTTTTTTTCGCTGTTTTAAAACAGTATAAGTCGTATTAACGCAATTGCTTTCCCGACATCAAGCCTGCCTGAGGCAAGTTTGCGAACAAGTCACAAGCATCAGCGTGGCTCAGAGGTAGAATATTGGGCTGGCACTCAGCAGACCCGGCTTTCGAGCCTCACTGTATCCTTGGTGCTAGGTTTTTTTTTCTAATTTTGCGCGATGTGGTTACGGATACCTGCGGCGGCGGCGGACACCTGCACGTGATCCGAGTTTTGATCTCATAACAGCTTTGGCTGTAAAATGAAACGAGTTATCATGGCATCATATGTGTTCATGTTGACACATACATGTGCCGACGAATGTGTCAGTGCCCCACCCATAAGAATTTCTTCGAAATAAACTAAGTGTATTTGAACAACCTAAAATTTGTTCTGCGCATGTAGAGGCTGCTTTTTTTCTTTACTCTCGTTTTTGATATGCCATACTTGAAAATGTATGTTGGGAAGAAACATCCTAGGTGAACAGTTGGCAGGCTGGGCTCTGTGTCAGTGGTGTCTAGTCTATCGCTCTTCGTAAAAAGCACGATTGCCTTAGAAAATGTGGTTCACCCAGCATGTTTCCTATGCGGTTTCGATGAAGAAAATTATTAAGATACTTCTTTGTTTGAGAACTATTAAAATACCCTGTATGGACTATAGAACATACATTTTTTCACGTCACGTGGCTTAACCAGAACACTGCGCAAAGTTCAACCAGAGACATCGCTTATGAAGTCAAATATTGCAAGCTGTTTCAGCCTGTTGAACATGGCTTGAACATGGTTTCAGTGCCATGAAAGTAAGACTTGCTAAGTTCATGGAAGGTGAAGCCTCATAACGGTCGTCTGCGCAGGCTGCGTGCGTTTCAGGGTGAACGTGATGCGTCTGACGGGTGAGTTTGAAGTTGGTGAAGCTGGCTCAGTAGTGGCCACTGGCCGTGTGCGCGAGGCCGCAGAAGGTGAGAAGCTGCTCGATCAAGACCCTCCATGTGCGTCAGACGAACCGGTCTCCTACGAACTCCATGCTGCGGACATCTACAAAGAACTCAGGCTGCGTGGCTATGAGTACCAAGGAGCCTTTAAGGGTATTCTCAAGGCCGATATGCACGGTGAGGACACTTAACTTACTATACTAGCGTTTAGGGTTCCATACACGCTATTTTAATAGCGATCGGCACACTCCGGTTCCCCGCACCATTGACTGAAACAGAATCTGTTGCTGTAGAGGAGGTATATTGCAAAAACCATCGCGGGCTAATAAGTAAAATGGCTTAGTAAAGATATGCGGCCAGGTTCGGGCCAAATTTTCGAAATAGCACTTAGCACTAAACATTATACTTCCACACTTTACAGCACTTTTTTTATGTACGTGGCCAAGTTATAAAACAAACCTTATTCGTTGTAAAGATTTCCTTATTGACAACTTGAAAACTTCTTCAAAGTGGTTCTTACGCAAACACTTCTAACTCGACTTGCAATTAATAAAAAAAACTTCAATTTATCAAGGCCATAAAGAAGCCTTGGGCAGTCCCATGAACGAAAGCAAATCAGTCAACAAACGCATAAATATATAGTGTTTAAAAATCGAAAATTGTCCTCTAGCACCAGGGGTGCTGTCATGCAACAATAGGCATATTACATTATCTTGCCTAATACTACCTATCAAAGTTCATTGCCCAGACACTAATGAAATAAATAAGTGTGCCAGGTTTCATTGAAACATTTTTACTACTAAGAAAGCTATGCTGGTTCACGTAAGAAAAATACGAAGAATGCAAGTGCTAAAAACTAACAAAAAATCACTTGGAACAGAAGGTGGTAAGAATTAAGGAAGTTTACCATATTTGTATTTAGTATCGTTTTGGCCCTTACTCCTGTCTACCGTAGCTCTAGCAGCAGCTCATTATTTTTTTCTACCTTGCTTTCCAGCATCAGGAATGTGACGGCATGCTTTCGCGATGTGGAGGCGATCATTTGTTACGCTAGTTTTTGCAGTGTTGAGGGGAGGCTTATTGCCTACTTTCTTTAGGATACCAACACTGTATCTTCTGTCATCATGGAAATAGCAGCCAGCGTCGCACAAAGCTCCTTTGGTTATTGGCAGCCTAACATTATGCGTTTTTGAGTGTAAAGAATACAAGTATAGCTTGTGTGTGAACCTGGTGATGAATTCATAAATTTTATGAGTACAACTGCTGCCTTGACAATCTATTGGCGTTAATATATGTGTACATTTGAGATGATAAATATGTAGCCAATGAAATGCTGCATATCAAGCTAATGGTGTCATTTACAGAAAGCTAGCGCTCTCAATCTCAATATTGTATACACTCAGTGGTCGAAAATTCGTGCTTGCCTCTTTTTAAAGAAACTGCGTAGACAAACAATATGCAGCGAAATGATGAGCGATCAATATCGCATTTACAGGACCAAAAACAAAAAACTGACCATCTGAAAAAAAAAACAAAAAACTTCGCATCTATTACTTGTTGTAATACCTCAAGGAGCCCTCTCGAACTTAGATTATGAAGCTAATTAGAGCGCTTCAGCTAGAACGGACTTACTAGAAAATTCAGGGAATCCCTGTTGTATAATACCTCCACTGAATTGTTCTGGTGTTCATGGATACTGTAACTCATGATGGAGGGAACGCTATACCACCCTAACCAATGAAGCATCCAAAATGTTTCCTTCAATAAACGTAATACATTTATGCTAAGCTAACTGCGCTATTAGTTATTACCAATGCCATGCATGTTGGTTCAAAGGTGGTGAATATGTCCACTTTTGGAAATGCGCATAAAAGCTGCCTTACACTATGCTGAAAGCTGTGATGAAGAAATGAGCTAAGTTTACCGCAATGCAACTCACGCAAGCACATCAATGTACATAACAAGGAATTATTTTTAAAGCCCTCTGTTTCAAAGCTGAGAACAGTAGTGTTTTTCTTGCATCTACTAGTGCCTTAATATGGTACATTGCTCCTTTATCATCCTTTGGGCGCCTTGGTATCCCGTTAAATGCACAGGAAGCCCTTGCCCGTGTCAATGGCTATTGTGGTTGAATACTGCAAGCGGTAATAAACAATTAAAAACTGTAGCTAGGAATGTGCCATATCAAATTATCATAACATTTCTATTAAACTTGAAGATTTTACTCCGGACATGCTAGTTTTTGGGTTTATTTTTCCCACAGTAGCTACTTTTTCATGCAACGATTTATATATCCCATGTAACATACTTCTGTTTCACTCTGATCGTCACTTATTCTATATAATTCCACCCCCGGAACATATAAAATGCCAAACTGAGCTTTTGGGGCATTCGAATGAACATTGCGTGTCCTCTTTTCATTAAACCTTCTTGTTGACAATATGGAGTGTTAGTACTATCATAGAGTTACATATCTCTGCCTAGAGATGGACTACACGTACAACAATCCGGCTTTCCTCTTATGTAGAAATACATTGTTGGTTCTTTGAGCTCATCTTCTAAATTTGCATTGCATAGCTGGTGCACTTTTAGCGTATCAGCTATAGCTGGCTCATCTACATACGCCCTTCTTCTAGTGCATGACTGCCACAAGTGGCGGTTGACAGCTGAGTAGCTTGAGGGCCACGCTTTTACGCAGTCCTTTATACGACCCACAAGGCTCAAGGGGTACTTCGAGGGGAGGCTGTCGGGGGATTTTATGGCATGTAGCTATATCACAGATTTCTATCCACTAGATCAGCGCGCACGATTTAATAACTTCATTGCAACCAGTGCTGCACATGGACGCTTAGTGAAAATAACGAGATATATTGTGTCTAAATTGTTTTTAACAATTACATGTGAATTACCATGTGAGTGTTTTCGAGATTTGAAACGCTCTTTTCACCGCTCATTTCACATTTTTTCTCACAGGGCACTACGGAAAGTTGAAGTGGATGAATAACTGGGTCACGTACGTGGACACAATGCTCCAGTTCAGCGCTTTTGGCTCACCACCACTGCGAACTTTCCTGTTGCCCGTGAAAATCGAGTCATGCATCATAGACCCAGAGACTCACGCACAAATAGCAGCTAGGAACGATGAAGGCGAGTGTGTTTCTAGGTGTACCACTGATTTTCTACTTAAAGCTGTCGAATGTGCCACTCGAGCAATTTGTGTTTAATATTTTTATAGTCATGGCGACTCACTTCACTAATCAAAGCGTGCCAGCCTTTTCAATCGTAAAGCGTGTAGGTCTTAGGACGGCATTGAGAGGTAATTGTATTTTTTGCAAGTCGGCGTTCTTCACTATGTGGTCATTCAGTGCACATGAATATACACTCACATTCGCCTTTCGGCCAACCACGAGTAATGGAAATTTATTATGATGCTACAATTTACGACATGTTTTCTGCACCTTAATTGATCTGACCCCACTGAATTAAAAATACTAGATTGCTAATAACTCATGTACCAGTGATAGATGACATATGCATTGAACAACAGTTTATTGCAGTCGCGGTGAGATAGTGCATTGCTCAAGTTCATTGACGTGCCTTCGGAAAACTTTGACCCCAGATTTATTCTGTGATCGACACCCCTAATCTACATCTCAGCAGAACCTAACAAAACAGCTCAGAACAGATGAGAAGCATGGGGAGAATGCACTATAGTTACGTGAGCACATCATCCTGGCCGACGAATAAGAAACATTTTTTCGCCATCACATACCTACCGTGTACAGTCATTTTTTTTACAATGATCTAAATTTGCTTTGTAGATCAAAGATACCCATTCCCGAAAGATTCGTTGTAGATGACTCATGTTCCACTCATAGTTCCTTACGTAATTCAACCTGGTTCTGTGCAGGAGTGCTCGTGGAATATGACGGCTACCGTGACACATGCCGCTCCGGTGGCATCGCCGTTAGGGGTATCAAGAGATCTATAGCAAAGCGGCGTTCAGTGCAGCAGACGCCATGTCTCGAGGAGTACCGCTTCGTGCCGTACATTGATGACGTCGACGCAAAGGAGCAGCGATATAGCCCTCTGCGAGAGTACGTTGATTTGTGCTGTGATATCACTCAGCATATTCTGCAATCTAACTGCGAAAACGGCCCCTTAAGACACTTATATAAAGACGCTTGCCCTGATCTACAACAAAATCTATCAAGCAGATGTCTCAATGGTGCCGCTGTTAACCACAGCCTCCTGAATGTCCTCCTCGCCGTCACTGAGGCAGCCAATGACTCCAAACCACTGGAATATTTTGTCCGGTCATCGCTGGAAGCCCAGCGACGAAGCTTAAAAAGAGACGTTCTGAACACAGCGTTGTTCGAAGAAGACCCTTTGAGGTACCTCCTTGACGTAGTCTTAGAGAATGGGGGATCCAAAAAGGTTCAAGTTCTCGAACTGGCTGTTGGAAAAGATCCACTGCTCATCGCTCCTTGGGCACTTCAGTGGCTGTCTCTACAAGACGTTCATATTAAGATCGAATACACTGTGGCCCATCCTTCTCCAGACACTCTGACACCAGATGAAGTGCCTCGAGGCATCAACATTCTTTCGTATGGCACATCATCTGCGTTACACGAATTAGCCCCAGAGGCTGACTTGACAATATTGTCTCGTTTTGTAGCAGACACCGAGAACGATACGAATGCTTTAGCCAAGCAGTTGTCGTCACAGTGTAAGGAGCTGAGCTTCGTGCTGCTGTCGCAGAGAACAGCATTCACCTCTACCGAAAACTTCCTCTCATCCATCGATGGCACTGATGACTGTACGCACTCTGACGACGAGGTCATCTCTGCATTCAAAGCACATGGCATGCTTCTGATAGGCCTCAAGTCAAACAAGTTGTCTTCACTGCTTCTGTTTCGCAAGTGTACAACGGTAGCAGACGTCAGAGAGCAAGATGTCGTAAGGGCGAAGAACACGAAAAGCGGATGGATCGAGGAGCTCGGGGAGAAAATACAGCAGTACGACGCCAAGACAGCCGGGCGTGACCTCTGGTTGCTTGCTGAGGACGTCGGAACCAGCGGGGTTGTTGGTCTCACCAACTGCCTTCGGTTGGAGACAGGCGGACGTCACGTAAGGTATTTACATCAAAGAAAAATAGCACATTTTCTTGGAATTACTCATTTTGTGACCAAAGATTTTAGTGTATCTGTGACATCACTTTAGATTATTTCTTCAAGGAAATAACCAAGCCATATAGTATTTTTGGCTATAAGGCCTGTAAATCCCTTCAGCTATTCTCAAAAGAATGTGCTAGCTATAGAATATTGGTATACCGTCATTACTTTAAAAGCCAAATTAGTTATATTGTGCAACTAAGGTGACACGCAAGAATGACAGACAAGCTTGAGCAGCAGCATCAGGATGGCATGTGACGTTTCATGAGCAACATATCGCGTTGAAATCAGATAAATAGAAAGGAAATCATCAAAATAAAGGCACGCCCGCCAAGCAACACCCACGCAAAAAAGAAACAGTAAACAAACACGGACTTTTACAGTAATCAGCATCTCAAGGACAAAAAGCACTGTATTTGCTATGAAAGAAGCAATGGCTAAGAGGCACGGTTGTCAGGCAATTAAAGACTTTTCGTAATAGTACACACGTTTTTAATGACAGAACGTTTCATTTGTGTGTTCACGAATTGAACGCGTTTGGAAACTGGCTGCACAATGGGCGCGCAGAGGTGTGGCAGAGAAAATAGGTAGAAGAAATAATATTTTGGGGTTTTATCTCTAATGGTTTTGTGTTTTTTATATTTTTTTCAGATGCGTGTTCGATACAAGTCACAATGGTAGAAACAACGTCTCCGACTTTAGCCCCAGTAACCCGAAGTACGCGGATATTTTTCAGCGAGGCCTCGTGATGAACATTTATCGCAATGGACGGTGGGGCTCATTTCGGCACGTGTGCATGGCTTCAGGTAAGTGTCATGGTTCAACACCTTCTATTATATTAAATTAAAAACTGAGAAATCCTGCACACTTAAAACGCTAGAAAAAAAGAACTTGGGCTAGTTGGTGTTAAATCATTAGAAAGGAACAAAAGAGCTAAAAACAGTCGAAGGACAAAAGAAGAAACGACATAAGCTCTGATACTAGCATTACCACAGTAGACGAACATTAGGCCTACAAATTTCACGACTAAAACACGTTGCTAGATATTGACTGAAATGATGAATAATTGTGGGGAGCTCTCCCACTATGAAGACCAGCACTGCAGTGGATGCTATGTAGTAACAAGCACCACGTGACTACTCTGTCTACTCAAATCTGGCCGCGTGCCCCAGAAAAATATTGGTTCCGTAACAACCAGGAAAACTTGCCGCTTTTGCAGTCCAACTGTCACCTGCTGCATATAAGAGGGGAAAAATCTTAATAAAAAAGGATCAATCATGGAGAAAGGTTGTCAGGTGTCATTAGGGTTGATGAAGTCTCACCGCACACCGAGTATTTTTAAACAGCTCAAGATGCATACTTGAAATATTATTTGCTTTCTTCACGTGACGTGTTCGTATGCTGAGATTTAAAACACAAGAAGGATCCACAGGCTTGGATCCTGCCGCTGGCAAGTTTCTTTTTCGTCCAGTTTTTTTCTCTTCATATTTATAAAAACTTCTGGTAACTCCCTTTTACTTTTCCTGGCATTATTGTCTTTTAGTACTTCTCAATATTGTGCCTAACAAAGAAAAGAAGCCTTTAAGTATACTCAGCGCTTCATTCACAGTGAGGGTACGTTCTTTTTTGGCATATTTCATGGCTTCAAGTTGTATGCGAAGGATTATTGGTCAGCTGCCATCTCGTAATAAGATCATGTACCACGTACGCGACGCCAAACAGGCAAGAAAGAGTGATCCACACTCGCCGGATCGGCAATAGGTGGAGCGGACTGACGCTTCCACGTTTTATGCACACATGTACCCTATAAAAGGGGGACGGGGTGATAACCGCCACCGTAGCTCAGGGGAGAGCATCAAACGAGTTATTCGAAGGTCGTAGGTGCGAATGCTGCTGGTGGCAAGTTCTCTTTTCGTCCACTTTTTTTCTGCAAACTTACAATACAATTATTTATAATTACTCTCCCGTACTTTCCCTGGCTATATTGTCTGTTAGTTCTGCCTAGCATGGTGTCTAACAAAACAGGAGCCCATAAATATACACCTCTGTGAAGAAGGAAATGCGTGTGTTAGGTGCTGATATAATGCATTCGTGAAGAAAGCTGCACAATTCATTCACTAGGGCGAAGGTATTGAGTTCGAGAGCAAGAAAATGTTGCAGTATGAGAAGTAAAGCTTTGGGATAAGTTCTTTAGCATCCCATCTGACGTACCTCAACAAATCGCTGGAGAAAAAAAGTAGTTGCTTCAACCAGCCAAATGGCATTCATGCCGTTTCCTCAATGCAAACTAGGCTGGCAGAACGAGTCTATGTATGAACCTCCGGCTGATTTCTGTCTAGACAGGGCTCACGCGACCGCGTCCACCTACTTAAAGTACGGAGTTCTTGTCAAATACATGCCCTCCTCTCATAGGAGCTCATCACGAGTCTTTCACGTGACGAAAGACGGTCGGCCGGTTTCCGCTTCGCTTGAGCTGTGATCGTTGGCCACCCATGCACATTCACTTGCACAAAACACATGGCACGGGATTACCCCACAAAGCCCGCCTAGATGAATTGCCATAGAAAAAAATCACATATCTCGTTTATTTGCTCTTGGGAAAGAAGTGAACTTATTCAGAACAAGTTGAAGTGCTAAAGATGTTACATATCAAAAATACAATTTGTATCATATTTGATACAGTGGGCTTTTCCGAAAGGCACGCCAGTGTTATGCTTCAGCACCCATGATAATCAAAAAACTACTTCTTTCCTTGTTGAGGCAAAGTATGATGTCACATTTGGAACAAATGATGGAACTTAACTTGTTCTCACATGCCACACAGTTCCTGTAGCGCAGCTGCTGGTTCGTAACCAGTGGGAAATGCCCAACACCATCTTTCGTGAAGTCAACATTGGGCTCTCTTAGTGGAACTCTTCTTTTTTTTTCGGAGCAGGTGATGGCAAGCTAGATGGGCGTCCCTTTTTTGTCTTTTCAGACAGCATTAGGCACTCTGACAGCACAGCGATAACTACACGCAACTTCATTGGCTTGGAGCGCAGTTGGGCAGATTGGCGCCTGTGCAGATTCCATGCATTTACTGCACAGGTGAAAATGCTGTGGTACAGTAAATACATGTACCACCGCCTCGACCTGATGGTGTACTTATACAGGGAAACTTGGTAGTTGTGTTGATCAATCCTCCCCATGAAGCTGTTGTACGCGCCCACAACACATGGGCGTGGTACGTCATTGTGCTTCTTGGCTTTGAGGTCATAGCGTGTGATCGTCTATATGGGCTCCACAGAAGCAAAGTTTGAAACAAGGGTGACTGCTTTTCAATCAAACTACTGTACAACAGCGAGAACATTCTTGTTGTCGACATGGTAGTCATGGGAGCCTTATCTAAGTTTCTTTAGGGCTTTTTCCTCCATGATCTGGCAATACTTCAGTCTGTTTTGGCGGAGCATACCCACGTACTGAATACCTCTACTGGTGAGTTCTTCAACAAGGGAGCTGAAAAAGTTGTCGGCAGCAACTTTGAAGCCCTCGTCAGAGGGGAGTCCGCGGCACATACTGAGGACAGTGTCATCCCCCAGTCCAAATGTGTAGGTTTCTTTCCGCTGCGCATGATAAACGTCGAATTAGTAGAGAATGCCTGTTGCTCCAGCGCGCCCCCAAAGCTTAAAACCCCACGGCGTAGGCTTGTTTGGCATGTACTATTTCAGCGTACTCCTGCCTGTAACAGCAACCATCATCTCGTCCACTGCGTTATACCCTTCTTGTTCTAGTTTTGCGAGATTCCGTTGCAACAGAAGAATCCAAGGTCTAAGTTTCCATACCTTGTCTGTTCTCTTCATTTCACTGGCTAGCACGTTGTCCACTGTGTGCAGGCATGCCGTCAGCTTTAGAAAGTGGTTCCTAGACATTGTGTCTGCTATTGGTGAATGTCTGCTGGCCCGCTCCCAGTAACATCTCACATTTGCCATTTGAACGAGGCCCATCTGCAGGTAGATTCCCAGGAACTGCTCAACTTCTGAGATGTTTGTATTGACCGATGCGCCAAACTTTTCAGTGCTGTAGAGATTTGTTTGTTCAACAAGCATCTCTAGCATGTCGTTGGTGAGCAGCTTCCGAAACAACTCCATCGGTGTCTCCAGGTCATCCGGCTCACTAAACGTCCCGGAGAAGTCTGGGTGGCAAAGCTGTAGCAAATCCTTTTCCCAGTTCCTTCCAGAAGTTGAGCAGGATGATGCGCTGCTGCAGAAGAAATCCAGCTCATCATCATCACTAGCGTCATCTGGCGCAGCATTGTTAGCAACTTTTCATTGTTCTTCATCGCTGTCTGAAAGATCACTGAAGTCACTTACGTCGTCACCAACAGCAACACGCTCTAGGATATCTCTCACCGCCTCACCTAAAACGAAAATAGACAGCACGATCGATAACGAAATAGTGAAGCAAGAAGCGTCGAACAGTTGCTTGTGTTTTACGGCGAGCAGAAAACGTTATCTTATGCTTTTATTTACAACTGAGAGCAAGAAGGATGCGCGTTCGAGTAACACCTACTGTATCAGATATGATACGGGCGAAATTACCACGTCATCGTAGGGTCCGAAGCTACCACACATCCAAAAGAATTATACCTAGTGATCAGATAATGTATCAGGCTAAACAATTCACGAAAGGTTTAGGAAAACATACGTCATAATTGCCTTTTCTAGTGTAAAATTATCGAGCTGGAATACCGTCACGTGCGGTACTGGAGGCTGCCATCTTCGAAAGTGAGCTAGCGGCGCTCTGGTGGCAAAAAATAGAAGCATGGAGATTCGGAAACGCTCTTCAACGTTCCCTAAGCACCACTGACCAGCTTTCGGGCTTTCAGCTTCGGTTTGTAGCAGCGGGGCTAGCTTCAAACTTGGCATATCAAATATTATACGGTGGGCGTTGTGGGGTTAAACAACGTCATCTCTTCATACTGAAACTTACGGAGGTGGAAAATCTGAAAATTTTTCTTAAGTGTTCTGATCATCGCTAATTCAAAAAAACAGAAAGGCGGCACTGCGGCCCACTGAGAAAGGGAAACAGGTATTTTTCTGCAAGCATGTCCAAATGCCAGTTTCTTTGCGTTTTGGACATTAGGCCATACGTTACACTTATATCTAGGCGCTTTCGCCATGCTTGTGATATCATATGTACTTTATTTTAAATATATATGGCACATTTTTATTCAACACGTTCATGCAGCGTTTCATTTGTTCAGATCAGTTGATGAGAAGGAGTAAATGACTGGAACTATCTGTGGTAACCTCCAATTTCTTGTTGTGAATAACGTTAAGGATATTTGATCAATTTATTTTCTCACGTTGCGCAGTACAGCGTTTTCGATGTGACACATGTGTTGCGATAATATTTTAAGGCTAGCATAAACACTGGACCATTTGCCCCTAATATATTCTAGATGAATGTCAGCATTCTTGCAAGATACTAAACCTGAAGAACCTTTAAAATCTTATTACCTCTATGAGTTCCGAAGGAGAAAAAGTGGCCCCGTATCTTCAAGTTAATCTGCAAATGTCGTCAAAAGACGACAGTCTTGCGTGCGGATAGAGTGAACAAAACGTTTATTTGATGTTCTGCGCGAGAAAATTGGTGAATCACATTTCGGAGGCGCTACGTTAGAGTGCCTCGAGCGTTCAGCGGAGGCAAACGAACACATGAAGTCACGCCACACGTGAGACATGAGCGCCATTTGGCAGTTTTCTTGGAAAACGAAGTGCCTGGCTCTGAGACGGGTGTGCACGCTCGTCTCAGACGTGATAAGGTGTAGAACTCAAGGCGACCGGTAGGTGCCACTACCGTCTCGTTTTAGCAAATTGTTGGAAGCACTCGCCTTTTCATGCAGGCGTTGCATGGTCAGTGCAGCGTGATAAGCGCTACGGTCCTTAAAATTACTTATGCATGCCTTTTCTAGTAAAAGACGCACAGGCAGAATATATAAGTTATGTTGTGGTGCCCCAGACATGCGCAATAATTGCTTTTAAATTCTCAATTGCACCAGTATGAATGCTGAATCTTGAGCAACATTGGTGGGTGCTGCAGATGGGGTCAGCCGTTTCAAGTACCCGAAGCTGTTAAGAGTGAACAGACAGACAGACAGACAAACAAACAGACAGACAGACAGACAGACAGACCAAATTTTTTGCGTCAAAGGTCCCCAAGAAAGACTATCGTCTTTAATAAACACGACGTGAATCTAGTGTTCAGTCTATTGCAGAGATAGCTATCCGGCATGAGATCCTGTTCAGTGGATTATGGTTGCGCGTATAGACAAGCAATAGGAATAAATTGCCATTTCACATGTTTCTACAAGATTTAAGCAATGAAATTTTATTGCGTCATGATTTTATTTCCACTCAATTTTATTTTTATTTTGCTATGCAAATTTTCTGCGTGTGTTCATGTTAAGGTGACCCGAGGGCGCTGTGTCTCTGAAGAGGTCGGCGCTGCAACACTGCAACAGGGGCATTTATGATGCTACATTTATTTATATAAGGGACGGAAAGGAACCGTCACACAAAAAATAAATGTACGTGTTTTTGTACCTTTTGATTTATTTATTTTTTTCTCATTCATTTAATGCCTTTACTGCGGTATTTTCAACAATCCACCTACGCTTGCCTCCACCTTATTTTTTCAGCATTTCTTTGGCTGCAATAATAACAGCCGATAACCCACGGTAAATTGAGCCATTCTTTCAGGTACCAGTACGCTTACCTCATCAATAACAGAGGAATGGTCGTACAATATCTCCACATAATGACGTACATAAGAATAGAAGAGGAGATAAGACAAAACCTTTATTTTCTTGAACAATCCCGAGTCAGAGGTTTTGGGTGAAGCTTAACTGACAAACCGCGGGATGGTAGAATAGGGTTAAATAGAATTTTCAACGAGGAGGTTGATTTTCCCAGTTTCACAACCCAGCCTCCACTCTATATATGCTGAAACGGAGGGAAGGGCGTTGAGCTGTATTGGCTCTGGGGCAGTGCCAGTATGTGTGGGATAGAGTCGGTGTGAAACCGCACATTGGGAAAAGCAGCGTATTTGGGGCTTGTATTTTGTGTAGTGAAGAAATGATACATGAAGAGTAGCACAAGCGTCTAACGTGCACTGGTGGAGTTATAGCTAGCCATTGTTGCGTGTGATTTCCTTTCTAAAACTGCAAGCAGAATCTCGCATTCATCGTTAACGCCTCTTGAATTGTTCGCTGCAGGCGGCCAGAAGAAGAACACGGTTGCCTTCTTGGGTATGCATACACGAGGCGACCTCTCAACGTTGCAGTGGTATGAATCTCCGCTGAAGTACGCCTCCCTGTCCAGTGGTACCACCAAAGATGGAACGCTCTGCGACGTGTGCTATGCATCACTCAACGCTCGAGACCTTATGATGGCAACGGGAAAGATCGCGCCAGAGCCCGTGCCAGGTCAGTGCGTTGTTTGAGTGAGGGAAAGCGTTATAAAGAACCTTTTCCTGCCCATTCAATACATTTAAAAGAAAGACGGCCTTATTCGCTCAGAAAAAGACAAGGCTTTACGAAGAATGCATGCGGTTTGAGGTATAAATTATTCCTCATTATGTTTCAGCCGCACTCTTAATATGTGCGCCACAGTGTTCTATGCCATTAGGAGCAGGTATTTTACCCTGAAATGAAGATTGCGGAGCAGGCGAATGAAATAAATGCCTTATGACAAGCTATGAACGTGTTTTCCTTATTCATTTATTTATTTATTTATTTATTTATTTATTTATTTATTTTGTGAGGAGGTTCATTAGCCGTTAAAGACAGTGACGAGACAGCGTGAAGAACCAGGCACATCTTCTTCATAATCGCGCCCGCTGAAAAAAGAGCCATCCTGGCGACCTAAGAAGTTTCATGGAGAGGCTCATGATACGGTTTTAGGCTGGAAACATGGACGATGTCACGTGCACGCCGGCGCATGTCATCCGGTCGGGAAACTGGCTGAATTAGGTAATTAACCGGAGAGGTTTTCTCTAAAACGGTGTAAGGCCCCTCGTACCGGGGGACCAGTTTTGATGAGAGTCCCGGAGTTTGGTATGGGATGGCAAGCCACACGAGAGACCCTGGGGCATAGTTGGGATCCGGAAGAGAGGTGCAACGGTTTTCTTTCTGGCGTTGCTGCTCGTCCGAGGTGAACGCACGGGTGAGCTGGCGGCACTCTTCGGCTTGTCGAGCAGCATCGTAGATAGGTGGACATTCGGAAGCATCAGGACGGTAGGGAAGTAGAGTATCAATTGTATGGGAAGGGTCACGTCCATAAAGAAGGAAGAAAGGTGAAGATCCCGTGGTTGTTCGTATTGCAGTATTGTATGCGAATGTGACGTATGGGAGAACACGGTCCCAGTTGCTATGATTAGATGCCACGTACATTGAGAGCATATCACCCAGCGTGCGGTTAAACCATTCCGTTAGCCCGTTAGTCTGCGGGTGGTATGCTGTCGTTTTCCGATGAATGACGTGGCATTCCGAAAGCAGAGCTTCGACGACCTCGGAGAGGAAAGCGCGGCCTCTGTCACTAAGGAGCTTTCGAGGTGCGCCATGTTGAAGGATAAATTGACGTAAAATGAAAGAGGCGACACCCTGAGCGGTACCGCTCGGTAAAGTGGCTGTTTCGGCGTAGCGTGTTAGATGGTCGACCGCCACTATAATCCACCGATCGCCATCTGGTGTCAATAGAAGGGGGCCGTAGAGGTCAATGCCAAAGCGATCAAATGGCTTGGCAGGGCACGGAAGTGGCTGCAATTCGCCAGTCACACATAGCGGTGTTGATTTGCGTCGCTGGCAGTCAGGACAGCACTGCACAAATTTGCGTACAAAAATGTACATGCCGCGCCAGTAATAGCGATGGCGAAGGCGTTCATATGCTTTGAACACCCCGGCGTGGCCACATTGTGAATCGTCGTGAAGATAGGCGCATACCAGTGATCGTAGAGTGCGTGGAATGACCAGTAGCCACCGGCGGCCATCAGGAGAGTAGTTGCGTCGATGGAGAAGTTGATCGCGGATGGCAAAATGGAAAGCTTGACGTCGGAGGGATCGAGATACCGGAAGGTTGGGCGTACCGGATAGATATTCGAGAAGAGATGCGATCCACGGGTCACGACGTTGTTCGGTGGCAACTGAGTCAAGATTTAACGATGACAAGGACTGGAGGCACGTGTTTCTGCACGTCGGATCTGGTGGCAAAGGTGAGCGGGACAGGGCGTCAGCGTCAGAGTGTTTGCGTCCACAGCGGTATACGACGCGAATGTCGTACTCCTGGATGCGGAGTGCCCATCGCGCAAGGCGACCAGAAGGGTTTTTCAGCGTGGAGAGCCAGCAAAGCGCGTGGTGATCAGTTACTAGATCGAACGGGCGGCCGTATAAGTACGGCCGGAACTTGCCAAGCGCCCACATCAGAGCCAAACACTCTTTTTCTGTCACACTGTAATTAGTTTCGGCTTTCGTCAGCGTGCGGCTAGCGTAGGCTACAACGTATTCTGAATAGTCGGGTTTTCCTTGAGCGAAGACAGCACCTAGCCTGACGCCGCTGGCGTCGGTGTGCACTTCGGTAAAAGCCGTCGGGTCGAAGTGGCGAAGAATAGGTGGCGAGGTGAGCAGACGGCGCAGAGTAGTGAAAGCAACGTCACATGCAGGGGACTAGGAGGAGAAGTTTCCGTCACCGCGAAGAAGCTGGGCTAACGGTGACATGATAGATGCAAAATTGCGAACAAAGCGCCGGAAATAGGAGCATAGGCCTACAAAACTGCGAAGTTCTTTCATGGTCGTCGGCTTGGGAAATTCTGCGACTGCTCGAAGTTTTGCTGGGTCAGGTAATACGCCGTGCTTCGACACGATGTGGCCTAGGATGACAAGCTCGCGTGCAGCAAAGCGGCATTTTTTGAGGTTAAGCTGCAGGCCAGCGTTGGTCAGACAAGTCAAAACGTGCCTGAGGCGAAGGAGGTGCGTAGAAAAGTCGTGCGAGAAAACCACGACATCGTCGAGGTAGCAGAGGCACATATTCTACTTGAGGCCACGTATCGTATTATCCATAAGTCGTTCAAACGTGGCGGGCGCGTTACAAAGCCCAAAGGGCATGACGTTAAACACTTATTGTCCGTCAGGTGTAATAAATGCAGTTTTTGGCGATCGGCTTCAGCCATTGGAGCTTGCCAGTAGCCAGACCGCAAATCTAGCGACGAGAAGAATTCCGCTCCGTGAAAGGTGTCAATGGCGTCATCAATGCACGGCAAAGGATATACGTCCTTGCGGGTTATCTTATTAAAACGACAATAGTCCACGCAAAATCGAATAGATCCGTCTTTCTTACGCACCAGGACGACAGGAGACGCCCAGGGACTGTGAGATGGTCGAATTACGTCTCTAAAAAGCATACCTTCGACTTGATCGTTGATGACTCGGTGCTCTTCAGTGGAGACATGGTATGGTCTTTGACGCAGTGGCTGGTGTAGGCAGGTGTCAACATGATGCTTGACTTGCGACGTGCGGCCTAGTTGAGGTTGGGACACATCGAAGGAATTCCGGAACTCATGCAGAAGATCAAGCAGGTCGGCATGTTCGGTGGGAGTGAGGGTGTCGGCGATGGCCTTGGAAAACGTATCCTTGGACGACTCCTCGATGGCCGACAGTGATTTTGGGTGGTCGCAGTAGTCATCCGGGACATCAACCAAAGACTAAGGGTTGAGATCCTGTACGCGGCCGAGACATTCCACCGCAAGCAAAGTGACAGGTGTGAAAAGCGGGTCGAGTATGAACATATTGCTTTTTCCGGCGGCAAGGTCAATCGTTGCGAAAGGCAGCGGCAGAGCTCGACGACTCGTGAAGATATCGGAAGGCATAAAAAAGACTGTAGCGTCAGTGTAGGCGTTGCATGAAACTGGAACAAGTGCGAAATTTTCAGGTGGAATATTGGTGTCTTCATGCACGAACAACTTCGGCGGCTGATGAAGAGCGTCAAGTAATGGGACATCACAACTGGGTGAGAACTCAACTTCAGCGCGTGCGCAGTCGATGACGGCATTATGGCGGGATACGAAGTCCCATGCCAGGATGACATCATGTAATTAGACAGCGAGGATAATAAACTCCACAATGTAAACAATGCCTTCGATGGACACTCTTGCAGTGCAGGCTGCGAGAGGCGTTACTTGCTGTGCACTTGCGGTGTGGCGTGACAGTCCCGAAAGCGGCGTCGTGACTTTACGTAATACACGGCAGACATTAGCGGCAATAACAGAAACAGCGGCGCCGGTATCTACAAGGGCGAAAGTACAATAACCTTCAACAGTTACTGCAACCACGTTAGCAGGAGAGGGGTGAGGGCTCAGACAGTTCGAAAATGGCGCAGTTCTTGCCTCTTGAACTGCGGTGCTTTGTTTTCCTGGTCAGAAGGTCTGGGCCGGCGACGCATTGGGGAGGGAGATCGCCGACGAGGAGAGGGTGCGCGCGGCGTCACTAAGTCGGGGTCGTTGGGAGGGGCATAGCGAGGTGACGAGACCGGCCCGTATTGCGCGAAGGGTTGGCTGCCGGGTCGCGACGATCGGACATAGTCGCCGAACGTCTGAGGTCGATGGCGGCAGTAGCGGGCAATGTGTCCGGCAGTAAAGCAGGCATAGCATATCGGTCGGTTATCGGGCGTTCTCCAAGAATTGGCGACTGGTGGTGCCGCCCAAGGTGCCGTTTAAACAGCCGGGTGTACGGGCTGTGAGCGCGAAGTGTAGGGTGGGTGCGGAAGCCAACGCACAGCGTCTGCATATGTGAACGGCGCTGCTACAGGCTGCATCACTTGTGAACAGGCGACAGGAGGAGCCACAGGCTGCGCTGCATACGTTGGGGGCGCGGCCACACACTGCACAGCTGGCGGATAGGCGACAGGAGGGCCTAGCGGCTGCGCGACACGCTGGCCGTGAACACGGCTGGATAGAAGCGGCTCTTGGTGCGCAACAGGAACAGCTTCAGCAACCTCTTCCGAAATAGCAGTGTGAAGCGGGGCAGGTAGACTGGTGGTGGTCTCGTGAGTGAAGGGCACAAGGGAAAGTTGGCGGGCGACTTCCTCACGGACGAAGGCTCGAACTTGCTGAGCAACGGTGAATTGTCAGGCAGGGTGTCGCAACTGGACAGTGACTCACCACCCTGCTGAAGCTGCCGAGTCAGAGTGCGTTGCTTCTTCAACTCATCGTAGCTCTGACACAAGCTGACGACTTCGGAAACTGAGCTCGGATTTCTTGCCAAGAGCATTTGAAATGCGCCGTCGTCGATGCCCTTCAGGATGTTTTTGACCCTGTCAGATTCGGGCATGGTGTCATTCGCACGTCGAAAAAGGTCGACGACGTCCTCAATATAGCTGGTAAAGGTCTCGCCAGTCTGCTCAGAGCGGACGCGCAAGCGCTGTTCTGCCCGCTGCTTGCGGACAGCCGGCCGACCGAACACGTCAGCACATGACGTCTTGAAGACGCTCCACGTGAGGATGTTGTGTTTGTGGTTACTAAACCACAATTCGGCGACGCCAGTGAGATAAAATATCACGTGGCCCAGCTTGTCGGCTTCATCCCACTTATTGTTGACGCTCACTAGTTTATAGTGCTCGAGCCAGTCTTCGACGTCGGTCCCATCCGCACCGCTGAAGACCTTCGGGTCCCGTAGCCTAGGATGGCCAGGGCAGTTGAACTGGGGCGAAGGCGTCGATGTAGTGGCGTTGTCAGTCATGACAGGCGGTAGCGTGCGGCTTCGCAGCTCCAGGGTGTATCAACGGGGATTAACAGCACCTCCACCAAATGTGAGGAGGTTTATTAGCCGTTAAAGACAGCGACGAGACAGCGTGAAGAACAGTCCCGCGATCGGCACAGCAACCAACCGAAGCACTAGCCGAGAGAGCCGGGCGTTGGCGATGCTGCTTGCTGCAGGCACATCTTCTTCTTCATAATTTATTTATTTAGAGGACAGAATTTCTGTCACATTTTTTGTGTCCCCGTCAGCACAGTAGAAGATACCTTACTATGAACGTATGTGCACTCTGTCAAGAGCTAATATTATGCCAGCCCAATACGTTGCACACGTACAGTGAACAGCGCGGAAGACGTAAACAAACAGGGATCCTCCTTTGTGGTTACATTTTCTACTTGAGTGCGGCAACGGAGGCAAATTTTCTACGTAAGCAGAAGCACCAGTCTTGCATGGCACTGCTGGTAAAAAGAAATGCTAGAATGACGGGATGTTCATTGCGTTCATGACTAAGGTAAGCATTCTTCACTTTTCTAATGCACGTTACTCCGATGGTGCTCTACGATCCACCTCGATCTCATAAAACTGACGCGAGAAGATGTAGCTGCCAATCGCGCTGACAAGCTCAGAAGTGACTGCGTTTGCATGTAATGTTTTCTACATAGTGCGAGCAAACAGCATGCACAGCACATCCGAACAGGGGTTTAGGTTCCAAAAGCCAGCCGCACAAACCTTATTTTGTGGCCTGCATTTTCGCATTCATGAGGGTTGCCAAACTTAGGTAGGCCTTGTGTTTGATTGGTCGTGATTAGACTCTTACATTCAATGCACATCACGACTGACATGCAACCAAGACTGCGTGAAAACTGGCTACCTAGGTCCCGCTGTATCGTCCTACATGGCAGTTAGGTTGACATCACGAACCAACTTGACGCTGCTCATATGTCTTGCAACTCACCAGCGCACAGTCACGGTGAGGACGACGAGGAAGAATACACCGTGGCGCTGTTCTCGCGATGACTGCATCGTAGAGGGTGTGCATTGGTGGAGTTCATTGCTACACCATATAGCACAAGCTTTCAATTTTTATATCACATTGACAGGCCGATTCCATCTAGTCGAGTGAACTTGACGCGCATCTGTCTCGTGCAAGCAGTCGTTCTGTATTAATGATAAGCAATGAGGCGCACAGTTTCAATTTCACTTGAACGCCAATTTTTTAGGGTCATCTGAGGAGGTATTAGGCAAGCAGTTTTTCATCCTGTATTATTTACGTCTGCATGGTATTCTGCGTTTAGGCTTTGTTGTGGTATCTGCACGCGTTAGCTTCTGAGAGTAATTATGAACATCCCCATAACAAAAGTCCCCTGCTGCCATCAATCTAATTCACAGTATCACAGTGATTGTTCAAATCACTGTGATACTGTGAAGCAGCGTGCGTGGTGAGATATATGAGTAGGGATAATGGGCAGCCAAACAAAGCTGACTGTCACCTCAACTCTTTAAACCTTTCAAATTTAAGGTAACTTGCTGTTACACCACAATAATAGCGCCCTGTTGCTCAGTGAGATTTCGAAATCGTAACAAAATATAAAAATTGCACAGCCATTTTGATAATTGCTGCGTTAACCAAGGCTGACTTTACGTACATTTTACTAATTTTCTTCAATAAATAGGTACTGAGTTTTTCACGACTAACTGCATTCTTTGTACAGACATAAGAAAACTTGCAAAAACGCAATCATTACTACCCGCCTGCTATTATCTCAATCCTTAGAAAATTCAATCGGTGTCGGACAAGGTTGAACGAAAAACAGTCATTGACGGCAAATAATTAAGTACCCTAAAGAACGAGAGATAGGTAGGCAAGTTGATTTGCGTTCATTGTAAAGTAAAGGGGGGCAGTGCTAGAGCAAATACAAAGTACTAAATGAAGGTAGGACAACAGCGCATGTCTTGTCTTTATCTCGCCGTTGGTATTTGTTCTAGCAATGGCCCTTTTTACCATGAAGCGACCTAAATATTCTTATTTGATGTTTGCCTTCAGTAAAAATTTATATAACTTACTAAACAATATTGAGCAGGATATCTAGAGAATAGCAAGAGTAGTCTTATGTGAGAACAGTCACAAGATGGAGGTAGCACCAATGCCTGGCACGAAAATAAAATTTCATAATAGCCATAAGTGTTAGGATCATTAACAGTGACGCAAACTTTCAGAGGGCACCCTAGTCATTACAAAGAATTTTAACCCTTGAAAGGGGATTGAGGCACAGGCTGCAGGAAATAACATATCATTTCTCGTAGCTGGCTTTATAGGAATCTTTCAAAACTGTGTGATAAACGTATTTCATCCATTCTATCTCTTGGCGCAGCAAATAGAGGCCAAGAAGAAAATTTGAGGGGAAGGACCACACACTGAGCGATAGAACGAAAAAGGCTCGGTGAAACTTCAGAATGCAGCCACAGTGCCGACTGCAGAACATACAGGTTTACCAAATATCCTCGTTGGCATTAAAAGCTAAAACAGGACTGCATCGCATGCATTTGGTTCAAAACGAAATATCAACAGAACTGAACTCATGCGAATGTAACGTATGAGCAGTCGACAGCTGCAGAGAGTAAGGGAGGCTGCATGTAAAGAAAGAAACAGAGTATGGATATTGTCGTCGTGTTCTGCTTTAGAGCTCAATGCCTAATCAATACCGAAACTATTCATGTGGGAGTACTGTGGTCAGGGTGCCCGGATGCTGACCGGAAAGTCGTGCATTCGATTCTTGGCCGAGGTACTTGCAATTTAGGCCGAGGCGAAATGGCAGAAACCCGTATACTGCGTAGTGTTAACTGATTTTAAAACGAACTAAAGGATTCCTTGTAGTCAAAACGACTGGAGCCTCTTAAAATGACACGCCGCGTAATCACATTGCGGTTTTGTCGGGTCGAACCGCAGAAATCATCATTAACGCCAAAACTTGCTTCGTCGGTCACGGTGCATCAGAGCCTACGGTGCTTGGATGCTAAACAGAGGGTCGCAAAATCGAATCCCAGCCGCAGTTGTTGCGTTTCAGTGGAGGCAAAATATAAAAGGCCACTGTAATGTGCGATCGATGTCAGTGCACCTTAAAAAATATCAGTCGTGGCCAAAGCCCTCCCGTACGTTGCCCTTTGTTTACTGAGTTTCGGAATAGAAATCCCAGCGCATTATTATTATTATTATTATTATTATTATTATTATTATTATTATTATTAATATTATTATTATTATTATTATTATTATTATTATTATTATTATTATTATTATTATTATTATTATTATTATTATTATTATTATTATTATTATTATTATTATTATTATTATTATTATTGAATAAATGCGTTGCAGGTAAACTGGCAATTTCGGAGTGCATCATGGGCAACGAGTTCTCGGGCTGGGACAGCCGGGGTCGCCGAATCATGGCGGTGGCGCCAACCCATGCCCTAGGCACCATGGCCATCGCGGACCCGGACTTCATGTGGGAGGTTCCCGAAACGTGGAGCCTGGAGGAAGCCTGCACGATTCCGTTGGCCTACTTGACTGCTTACTACGCGCTCATAATGCGTGGCAATATCCAGGCCGGAGAGTCCGTTCTGATTCACTCTGGCAGCGGATGCGTGGGACAAGCATGCATCACCGTCGCCATCTCTATGGGTTGCACAGTGTTCACTACCGTCGGTACAAATGGCTTATTTTCATTTGATTTTCATAACGCGCCGCTTTGAATCAGTGTGGAAAAAAACAATTAGTCAACTAATGAAGTGCAAAAGCACCTGTAGTCGACAGCTGGGAAGCATAAACTCACTCAGAAGTCATTTTTAAATACAAAAAAGACGCATACCATCGAGGATGAATTCAAAACAGAACAGAAACATGTGTTTTTTTTTGTATTTCAGTAAGCGTCTAGCATATAGCCCAAGAGCAAGCTTCCAGCACTTTTGTGCACAATTTCAACATATTCAAAACCAGTTTCGCAAAACAGTTGCAAGTGCCAAACCTGGCCTGTTCTGCGGTTAAAATTGTGCACTTATCTCAATTATGATGTTAATTGGAGTTTAACGTCCCCGAACCACTATATGATTATGAGAGGTGCCATAGTGGAGGTCTCCAGAAATTCCACCTCCACCTGGGGTTCTTTAACGTGAACCCAAATATGAGCACACAGGCCTACAGCACTTTCGCCTCCATTGAAAATGCAGACACCACCGGGATTCGATCCTGTGACCTGCGGGTCAGTAGACGAGTACTTTGGCCACTAGACCACTGCGGCGGGGCCTTGTGCACGTATCTCGTTCAATAACTTCACGTTCTCCAAAGTTTTATGGTGTGACGTCGAAGGAGAAAGGAAGTGCCAATTCAAGTAAAAATGAAGCAACATTTATATTTTTATATAATATGGCGTGTACATTTGTAGAAAAAATAAGAAAATTTATTTGTGATCGACGCCATCGCGGCAAGTATTATAACACCTTTGCTACAGTGCTCACACTTCAAAAAACCAGCCCGATATAACCAAGACAAAACTTTGCAGCATTTACTTGGTTTCACAGGCCTTGTTAAGAATGGTAGGCGTAAAATTCAGGGTACATAAAAACACAGCGCGTAGAGTGTAATGAGGCTTTCGTGCATATGGCGGTGCCTTTGTTATAGCAGTGTCTTCGTGGGTTCTTGCGTCCGAGGCATAACCAGCGGAATTCGGGTCAGACGACTGCGCGATATCGCCAGTGTGCGCATGTCAAAGATCATTTATTAGTGTGTGGATGTTTTCTCCCAAAATTTGGACTACAACTCTTGAATTACACGCACGAGTAGCTCTGCGAGGGCACGCTCATCAGTCATCTCGCTAGTATCAGGTGCCTGAAGGAGACCTCCGGTAGTTTTAGATATTTCGGTTGTTTCCGATTACTTTGCTGATTGAACGGAGTGGTCACGCAGTGTATGCCACGTGAAAATGACAATTGGCATTTCGTTCATTACCACTCGTGCTCCTGCAGCTCGCTTGACACCTCGATACCTCCCACATCTTCGCATCTGGAAGCGTTCAAGTGGCCTGATTAATGGCAATGTCGTGTTTCAGCTCTCATCAGCTACACAGCGTAGGATCATTAGGAGTAGTATTGAAACATGAGCTAGTTGGTATGAGGGTATCGTAAGCTATTTTAGCGCACACTGACACACAAAGAAAAGAAAGGTACAACACCAGCGCTACTATCAACTTATGGTTTATTCAGAAAAGGAACGTTTATATATCAATGTAGTCACTCTTTGCCCCTGCGCACTCATAATTTCAAATCCGAAAGTCGTACCATATCTCATGTGTTCATTATCCGCAGCAGTGACACTTTTTTCGGATATTGTCACTGATGAGTGGTTGGCTTATACAAGAAGATTACCTAATGTTAATATAAATGCCGCCGCGATCTCTCGTGCGGTGCGATCATGGTGCTTAAAGAAAATGATTGTATTTAAAAACGTGCCTCGCATCCACACTTTGTACAGTGTGAAGGCAGATGCGTCAGCGGCCTGTCCTTTGAAGATGACTGGTGCTCCCTTAGGCGAATATTTATGCAGTGACCAGTCTGCGCCACATACACTCGTCCGCATGTGAGAAAAAATTGCCCGCAGCTTCCCTCGGGGGAACACTGAGGAGGATGCGGAGCATATAATTGGTTAACGGGGTGTTAAAGAGCGACTTACTTGGGTCGATGGCTAAATTGGTTAACGTGGTTGTGAAATGGGGTGTTAAATTGCGACTTATTTGGGTCGCTGGCTAAATTGGTTAACGTGGTTGTAGGAGGGGTGTTAAATGAGTGAACACGTACGACACGTATCCCGTTTTCGAAAGTCCGGGTCCTCCTGTCGTCGCTTACGTTTTAAAGCGGCCGAATCCGGTGCTGCTGCTCGACGCTGACGTCTCTCAGCGGCTTCACGTTCTCTAAGTTGAGCATCTTCCGCTCGACGCCGACGTTTACGTTCGGTGTCGCGAGCTCTTCTCTGCGCTGCCTTGTTTTCGGACGACGACTTGGTTGCAGTTCCGCCAACACTTTGGCCGGCGCTAGTCGAAGGGACGTCGATCATTGCGACCTCGGACGTCGACGCGCCGTTCAAACCAACCGACGAGCGGCAACTGAGCGAGCAAGCACCGACCTTGAGTATATATACAGCGCGACGGCGCATGCACTGTCAGTTGTCGAATGTTCGAGAAGGGAGAGAAGCGCAACGGCGCATGCGCGCGCGTCAGCTGCCGATGTTCTCGAAGCGTGACGGCGCATGCGCGCTACATTATACAGCTAGCGAATGTTCGTGAAGAGGAGAAGCGCACGCGGTGTGTAGAGGAGGAAGGGTGCACAGATGGTGGAGGAGTGAAGCGCGCGCGGTGTGTAGAGGAGGAAGGAATGCACAGATGGTGGAAGAAGGAGGAGGAAGCTTGCGGACGGCGCCGCACTACAAGCCTCGAGTATTAGATGCTCCGCATCTAAAAGTACAGTAAACATGGTTAAACGCACATTGAACTAAACAGACCTTGTGCTTAATCTTGGAAGCTTGGGCTCCTCCTCGTCACACAGCGCCCAGTTTCCTTCTAACCATGGGGCACAGCTTGGCTAGTTTATTCTTGGCCATGAAATGAACATTTAGCCCACATTTATTGGCGGTCTTTTTAACTCGGTGTGACAGCGCATGTACGTACGGTATCACCGCTGCTCTGCCACGTTCATATTCCCGCTGTTAGGTTATACCCTTGAGTGAACGTGAACAGGATGTGCTAAAACAAGGACCTAAGTACTGTTTGGATTCTTCTGTAGGTACCGTCGAATGTTTGGCCATGACGCAAAATGCAGTGCGGTATGTAGCGGATACGGACAGGGATCGTTTTGTTCCCGAGGGTGTTGAAGCCTTTATCCTCGCGGGTCCACTAGAGAGGGAAGAGCCTCTTTGCCAACGCGGTAGATAACCATCCCAAACAAAATAAAAGTGCACATTTCCTTGAATTGGACAAGGAAGGCCACTTTGTGGTTCTTGACCAGTCTATGTTTGCGAAAAAAGCGTTAGGAGCTGTTTGCAAGAACTTCTGGAAAGTTTGTTATATACGCGGTACTGCAACCAAGGCAAAATCACGCAATCTCGAAATGTGCAATCAGTTAAATTTGGCTGTTCTAACTGCCTCCGTCAGAAAAGAAACCAGATCCACATTGAATCTGATTTTGCCGCCAAAACTCACAAGCCAGGGATACCCTTTTGCTCGATTTTTTCGGAGCGAGGTACATGGCAAAAGGCCGTCTCCACGTACCTTCAGAAACACCTTGAATCTTTGAAGATCCCTGACCACTTTTTCATACGTAACTCGGCTACAGTAACTGATTACTTCTGAAATTTCGATTGCACCGATTGCTACGGAATAAGCATCGATATGGAAGCCTTGTTTTACTATCTCTCGCATGATGTTTTGACGGCGCGGGTTGCAGACTGCATTGTAAACAATAACAATAAAATTGTTTTTAGGAACAACTGTGATATTACAGGGGAAAACTTTCTTGAGCTGCTCAGTTTTTACTTGAACCACACCTTCATTGAATTCAAGGATAAGGTGTATATTAAAAAATCTGGAGGTAAAATAGGATCAAAAGTTGCACCTGTACTGAGTGAGACTTTTTTAGCAGAATGAACTGTGATTTTTGCCAGGTCTGCGGGGGGGGGGGGAGGCAATACGGTATTTCACTTCGTCGATGATTACTTGGTACTGGGCAGCGATGTGGCCTTGAATACGTTTGTACAGGAAGTTCTGGTAGCCCTTGAGGCAAAAGGAGGAGGGCTGAAATTCACTTACAAGGTATACTTGTTCAAAACACCTCGCAGTTTTTAGACCTTACGCTATATTTTTCAGCCGACCGTACATGCTTCAAGTACGCTCCCCGACCACAAATACCCCTTCTGATCTACCACTCTTTTCATTACAATGTTATAAAAAACGGAGTGGCCACATCTTGTCTATAATCCGTTGTTACCAAGTCGTGTCTTCATTTGGCACAGGAGAGATTCAGGGAGCAGGTTATTAGGTTAAAACACTCAGGCTTTCCTGAGTCTGTTTTGCAGGAAACTTGCAGGCACCTTATTAAGCTCATAAAAGGAAGCCAAGATCAATAGCTGGAACAGGAATGGGGCAGAGTTGTGGTGATACCGTACATATATGCGCTGTCACAACGAATTAAAAAGACGTCCCTTAGGTAAGGGGTAAATGTTGTTTTCATGGCCAAAAATAAACTAACTAAGCTGTGTCCCATGGTCAGGAAGGAGCCTGATGCAGTGTGACGAGGAGGCGCACAAACTTGCAAGATTAGGCACAGGGTCTGTTTTGTTCTATGTGCATTTAACCTTGTTTACTGTAGTCTTCTCACACGCGGACAAGTGTATGTGGCGCAGACTGGTCACTGAATGAATATTCGCCTAAGGAAGCACCAGTTATCTTTAAAGAGCAGGCCACTGACGCATTTGCCCTTACACTGTACGAAAAGTGGATGCGAGGCACGCTTTTCAAATACAATCATTTTGTTAGAGCATCATGGTCACACCGCACGAGAGATCGCACAGGCATTTCACATCAACATTAGGCAATCGTCTTGTATCAGCCATCTGTCTGTGACAATTTTCGAAAAAGTGTCACTGCTAAAGCCGATAATAAACACATGAGATCTGGTACGATTTTCGGATTTGAAATAACGATGGTGCGCAAGGGCAAAGGGCGGCTACAGTGATATATAAATGTTCCTCTTCTGAATAAATGCTTCAGTGGATAATAGGACTGGTGTTGTACCCTTCTTTTCTTTGTCTATGTATCAGTGTGCACTAAATATAAGTTACGATGTGATCATTAGAACGCACGCTACTAAATTACATCAATGAATACGCAAAAAGCACCTGGCAGTTCAATTCGTATTTCTTAAAAGCGTTACTTTGTGATGCAAGAAAACACGACTTGCTTGCAAGCAATCATGTTATCGTCATTCTGACATTGACATGCCCCTTAGTTTTTGGAACCCCTTTCCGGGAGCGTATTATCTTTGTTGAACAAGTGTAGAGGATGATATAAAAAGACCACGTGGGTATGAGTTTGACTGACAAACGAAATGAAGGAATTTCACATAAATGCGGCCCTGAATAGCGCACGATTGGCGCTCATGCTATTACCGAAATAGAACAAGCATTTGCGCAAAAGGAAGTGATGTTGGCGGATCATTGGTGTTCTTCCAAATAAACTTTTCAAAGAGCTTTTAAAGTAATATTAAGACACAGGAAATTCAAATATGGACAAAATGCAAATTTCAGGACGCCACAAGCGCCGACTAGCAGGTTGCTATTCGGCGTTTAGTTGTTTTGCCTCCTGGTTTGCCATTGCCTCATACGGCAGTGCTTACCATGCCTATATTAGATGCACGAACGAGTCATATCTTCTTTCTATATTAGCCCCGCTCTGCCGTTTGCTATCCGACTGCTCATTCCAGCCATGGTGCCCGCGGTTTTGTGCTAACATATGTATTACAGCATGGTAGAAGAGTAAAGTAAGAACTAGTACTCTAACAATGTAAATTGCGAGAGATGGGCGTGATTTAAAGTTCCTCCCTCCCCATCACAATGGTCTGAGCTTCAATTCTTCATCGTATTCTACCACAGCATCAACAAAGAGCACATAATGTCCTACTGATATGAAGCTGGTAGCAGACCTCTCTACAAAGTGGCCAATAATGGCACAGTGGTCGCTTTTCCACCTTACAAAAACATTATGTTCTATGAGATGGTGGGCACTTTGTAAGCGTGCTTGTTTATAAGAGAGCTCTAGAAAGGGCGCTTTTTCAGCTTTCGCTTTGACTGTGGTGCATGTTTGACGCAGGCATGGTGATTTGTTGAATATATGTATGAATTTTAAGTACTCTAGTTTTGTCTTGTTTGCTAAGCTCAAGGGCACAAGTTCAATAGAAAAATCTGCCATTGTGATAACAATTGAATTTGACCTAACGGCAAAAGCAAGTTAGAGATAATTATTCCCGAGTAGCTTCTACAGCATAACATATGGTGATTTCGACGCAGAAAAGTCTCGGCAACGACTTGCTCTAGTTGTATTTGTTCAGAATTCTTTACTCGAATTATGATAGAGAGGAAGTCAAAATATACTTAGACAGACACATATGGCGGTGTCAGTCTCGGATGAGTATATTATCTTTGCCCCAGTTTTGCTGCATGCACGTAAAAAATTTTAGCTTTGTTTTTCTGAAATGATCATTCTAATAACAGGTTCCTCATTGACGAAAGAGTTTCTGAGACGTCGCTTCCCGGAACTTGAAGATCGGCACTTTGCCAGCTCGCGGGACCTGTCCTTTGAGACACACATACTGGGCGAGACTAAGGGCACGGGTGAGTAGAGGTTTTCATGAAAGGCCTGGACGCACATTAAACCTCCGAGTCTTCTATGTGTGCCCTTTCCTTTTTTAGAAAGACAAAAAATACGACTCCTAAAGTAGCTACAGCTCAGTGAGGGGCTTCCTGCAGACAGGTGTTGCCATCCGAGTCTCAAGTCGGAACGTCCTTTGAAATTAACGTGCATAAACAACACAGGAAAGCGTTCATCAGCATTTGTATGATGAACCCAAATAATAGCTCGGGTACAAAATATTTTCACGCGCGACAAAGCCGAGGCAGCCTTCCGGTTGATGGCTTCCGGGAAACACGTAGGAAAAGTTGTAGTACAGGTGAGAGTCATTTCATTATCTAGCGTATGCGGCGCATTCTCGTATATCCGGTAATTGAATGAAAGTCTAAAACCACACGCCTACAACTATCAAAAGTTCTTCAATTCAGTTCGAAAGAATGGTATATATCCTCGGTATGACATCCAGTATTGCGATCTGAAGAACTTCCCAGTGGATAACTACATACTCATTCTGCGCATGTCGCGCTGCAAAAGAGTGTGCGAAAAGTCTAATTATTTAACTGTGATAATCCTCATTTGTCTCTAGTGCCATTTCCAGCATTATCATCGTGAGCCAAGTACTTTCAAGTCCAAGTACTTCTGATCTTCTCGAAGCATCTAAGATGATCATATTGGAAGTCGCTTTTAACTTTGATATCTTGTTATGCTTGATGTTCAGCACGGTGACATTTATTTTGAAGCATACGGCTTTATTGCCAAAGTGTTATTGAAATTGTGACGTAAATTAGTGTCTAATCGCCCTAGAAAGCCACGCGTAAGATGGCGATTGTCGAATATTGGCAGTGTTATACAACTGCTGCCCTCCAAACCTCGGGTCAATCACTCATGTGGAGCAAAGCATAAATGCTATACACCTGCGCCACATCGTTATGTAGAGCTTGGGTTATAATTATTTGTTCGGCGGCATGATTTTTTCATACTTTGAGGTCTTTTTTAATGGCAGTTTAACGCAGTATTAGTTTTTTTAAAAAACTAGCCTGCAGCTTATTCTGAAACAAAATAATTTGAAATATTGAATTTTGGTCTACATTTCTCGAGAAAGTTACAGCATGGGATAGAAGTGAAGGGCAATGCCAGGAACGTTGATATATCGCCTTTGCTATTCATGCATTACGAAACCAAGTAACTTTGCTCCAGTGAATGAAAGGTAGTATGGCATACTCGCAGTCCTTCATGCCAGTCTATGTGAATCCTATGGAGATAGTCATTGAGTACTGACCTATCTCTGCAAGTCCTCTCAAGCATGCGTTTTAAGGTCAGTGTCGGAGCCTGCAAATGCACTGTAACGCTCACCAGCCTAACTTTCATATTTTAGATGCGAGGGATTTCTCTGCGCACTCCAAGCACTTTTGACGTTTATCTATCTATCTATTATCTATCTATCTATAATCTATCTATCTATAATCAATCTATCTATCTATCATTCATCTATCATCTGTCTATTTATCTATCTATCTATTTATCTATCTATATATAACCCCCTCAAGTTGGCGTGAACGAAAATTAGTATGCGAGGGTAAGACGGTTTGACGACTATGACGCGCTGGTTGAGACAGAAACAATGTAACAATACTGTCACGCATGTCGTCAAAACGTTTCGGCCAGACAGTGGCACATATTCAGTAATGGGCATGCGCCACGGGTGTGCGGGCATATGCCAGGAACGGAGGGAGCAGTTATTATGCACCCAGTAATAGAGGGAACGCAGATTAGTAATTGTAACGCGTGAACGTTAAGAAAAAGCTTACATAAGCAGCGTTGCTTCGATGACTACAAATAATAAAATTTGGCAGATCCCATGTACTTCAGAATCGACGTTATGCGAAGCATGCGGTTGGAAGGTGAGCGTGAAGCACTATAAAAATTTCACGAAGATTAGCGTCTATTTGAAAAGATGTTCCGAGGCCTGGCGTAGCTCTGTGCCAGAATGCTTGACTGCCACTCAGAATGCTTGGGTTCAATTCCTGCTGGGACACTGAAATTTATTATTTGCATTTGTTAAGGGGTCAGCGCTGCCTATGTCAAGTTTTTCTGAACACGGACATTTATTATATGCATTTGTTGGGTTGACGCTACTGATAACGGGTGTGCTTAACGCGACGCGTTAAAATTGCCAATGTGTGTTCTTGTCGTTCCTGGGTATATGCTAAGTGTCTATAACCTGTGGCACATACCCGCATACCAGTGGCGCATACCCCCCCCCCCCCCTTGGGTATGTGCCACTGTCTGGCGGGAAGTGTTTGACGACGCACGCGACGGGAATGGCACATTATTCACGTCTTGACCAGCGCGTCATATTCGTCAAATCATCTTAACTTTCCATGCTTATTTTGGTCCACGCCAAGTCAAGGGGGTCACCACGAAAGTCCCCTAACGTAAGTGGCTAGAAAGATAGATAAATAGATAGATACGCTCAAAGTCGCCAAAGTTCACTAAGAAATGCTCCGCATTTAAAAATGTCAGGATCCCAGCAGGGATCGAATCCCAGCATTTTACGTGACAGTCAATTATTCTACTACAGAGCCACACCAAGTCTCGGACCTACTTTTAAAATGGACCCAAATGTTCATAAAACATCTATTGTGTTTGCAGTGTGGGCGATCCTATTTTATAAACATTACATACGTGTACTTTTGTGACGCAGCCGTGACGTCGTGTTAACGCCAATTGCAGTTTGGTGCCATCCACTGAACCTGCTTTATGTAGCAGCGTCCAGGGCTACATGTGGTGTTCTACCATATTCGCGAGCACTACCACTTTATATCAGCTTATCGCTTCTGGTGTGGCTAGTACTCATGTACGTACCTGTTGGCATTGTTGCGCAAGTGCAAGGAACTGGCTATATAAATATTCATAACTGTTCAAGATATGTCTGGGCGTGCAACATATGTTCATATATTTAGCGTCATTTCATAACGACGTGTCACTAAAAACACAGCACGGTCAAACCGAAGGTGTGTGCAATATGTCGGATTTTTTTTTTCAAAAAAATGTTCCTGTTTAGCTTGAACGATGCTAGCCACAAAGAGTACGCTTCGGTCTAGCAATTAAAAAAACGAAAGGAAATCTTAAACGAATGATTACAACGCGGAGCTTCGTTTAGCAATGTCATTCCATTCATTGAAGCTCCGTTTAAGCTTGCTCATATCCACTATATCTTGCGACAAAATCAATGGCGATTGTTCATTTAAAAAGTACACAAGCGCACATTTGCTCACCACAATTACTCACACACTATGATCACGTTAAAGTGTAAAATCTTATTTGCCTTTTGCCTATAATATATATATATATATATATATATATATATATATATATATATATATAAATACACACACACACACACACACACACACACACACATATATATATATATATATATATATATATATATATAAAGAGAGAGAGAGAGAGAGAGAGAGCAAAAATTGCGAGCTGTTTGCAACGAACGCAGCCACTTACACTTAAAATAAAATTTCATCATGAAGGTCGCTGTTAGCTACAGTGTCTGCAGCCATAGGCATTTTAGACAAGCCAGGATTTTTTAATGGTTTGCTTTGAAGGCACTCATGAATGCCTCGCGGCTGTGCTATGAAACCAACGTATTGATTATCCCAGCGATCCTTCTGACAAAAATTACAAATCTGTGACACCAGATCCGACCCGAGGAAGTGCACCACCATGCCGGCCCAGCTGTACCGCTCCTTGTAGAGGCCGTCGCGCGCGCTTACTTCTACGAGCACAAGTCGTACGTGATCGTCGGAGGTCTTGGTGGCTTCGGTCTGGAGCTTGCAGACTGGATGGTTACTCGTGGATGCCGCAAACTGCTGCTCACCTCCCGCTCGGGGTTGAGAACTGGTTACCAGAAGCTGTGCTTGCGCCGTTGGCGTGCTCTTGGCGTCCAGGTGCTGGCCAGAAATTCAGACGTCGCGTCTGAAGGAGGAGCTCGGATGGTCATCGAGGAAGCCACCTCTATGGGACCCGTAGGCGGCATCTTCAATCTGGCAATGGTGAGTGATTTTCTCGGCATACGTCATTTGGCTGATATTTCAAAATAATCGTTGTTGCTGGAGTTTCGCGTCCCAAAAACCACGAAGCGATCAGGAGGCATGACGCTGTCCTTGCCGCAATGAGAATGTGATATCACACACGGTCGCCATACACGCATAGATCAGAAACCGACGACGGCAGAAACAATATTGCAATGTCGTTCTTAGAATTTATCACGGGGCGACGAAAGCGGAGCTGATTTCTTCAACACATAAGACTTTCACCGGTGGTTATAGGCCAATGGCGCGATCACGCACACGCTATCAAAGACATGTGAGTTGTGTGACCACGTGTGCCTGCTCTCTCTCTCTCTCTCTATCTATACCTTTGTCTCTATCTCAACTTGTAAAACTCACCCACTCATTTTTATAATGCAAGGTAGCATAACATTTTCTCTAGACTAGTTAACAGTCCTTGAGCCAAATTAGGGCTCCTGTACACGTTTCAAAGATTTTCTGTTCTGTTGCTTCTCATAAAAGGTATCTAGAGTGCCAAGCGTGAGATAAATCGTTTAATGAAATGTTTCTTAGCTCCATTCTTTGAGATAGTCAGATAATGTCACACTGCGGGAGATCCAAATAGTGGCGGTGTGTTGCGGCAGAAAAGCGAATTGCTGCCGCTGCTGTTTCAGAGTAAACCAGTCGCGCGCGTTGCTCGCGGTCCCCCGAAGTCACGAAGTGCGGACGGGGAGCGCGTTCTGCTGCACTTGGCTAATGCCACCAAGATTTCAGGCCTGCTGACTGCCGCCATAACGTCAGAAGCCATGGCCGAATGAGAGTGCGTGGGAGGCTGTAAAGCCACTGCCACCATCGTCTACCGTGAAAAGATAAAACGATCGTGGCGAGTTTTACATCTACAGAAGCTTCGTTAAAACTTTTTTGTCTGGACTGCCACTTGTTTTGAAGAATGTATTACTTTAAATTTTGGTAATTTATTTTGAATGATTTGTTGCCTCACCTAAACTTTAAAGAATACTGTGTGCTCTCAAAAGTGTAACCAACTTTTATAAAACTTACGAAATGTCAACAAACATACAAAATCAATAAGGTAAAATTAATTGATCACTTTTCATCTATACACGTACACACACACACACACTCACTTTTAAACACGCACACACAGACACACGGCACCATCCAGAAGATTCACGAAGTGAATCTGTTAATTAGCAAAACTTTCCACAGTTTTCTCTGTAAAGTGAGTGTGTTTTGACCTGTTGTGCCTGTTCTTGGACCGGTGTTCTTGGTAGTCATTGTTACGTATTTGTTCGGTTTGAAATGGTGCTCATGCCCCTGAGAAATATTTCATAAAACGATATATCTTACGCTTCGCACTCAAGATACCCCTTACTAAGAAGCAACAGAACAGAGAAATATTTGAGGTGTGTACTGTCACCCAAATTTGGTTCAAGAGCAGCTGTACATATTAAAAAATGACCAAGGGGCTGCCTAAACTGACCCACGATTATTATACTACGAAAGAGAATGCTCGAAGCAGCGGTGAAAATATTACGTAATGCATAAAAGATGCACGACATCACGGACCAGCTCTCTTACCTTTTTCTAAGTTAGTTGATTGGAGGGGTTGTAATAAGCAGGTGGTGCTATGAGCAAACAGCGAGACGTGTACCGACCCTCAAAGAAAAACGACCATCCTGAGAATATATCGCGACGCGCATTTATAGCTTCATTTTGGTGTGTTTGGTTTAGAAACAGAGAAACTTGAAACACTCTTTCGCTCCGCTTGTGAAGTCGGTTAAGCGGGGCATGAAGATGCCTGCTTCGTTGCGCTGTTGTACTTGCAGCCAAGCCAACCACGTCTCGGCAAACGCACTAGCACAAAACGCGAAATCTAGGCAGCTACTTTAGCACTCTCTCGGGACGATAAGCTATCACGGGAGTGAGCACCAGTGACACTCTGCTAAAGGTGTCGAAGGCCAAGGCTTCGCAAGCAAGTGCTTGCGAAGCCTTGGCCTTCCGAAGCACTTGGGGTGCTTTTAAATCAACTCAAAAGAAATTTGTATAGAAACACACACACGTTCGAATCACGAAGAGAAGTAAGGCACCTTGAGGAATGGCAGGCTCTCATTTCGTTTTTCGCTCATCCTCTGAGAACAAAAACACTTGAAGCACATTGTCAATATCAACTACAGTTGAGCCCGCAGCACTATCCCTGTGTGATAGCTTGGAGGTGTGTACACTACGCAAACATTCCGTGAACGTAACCCAAAATTACACCACGCGGCACTTCAAAGACGCTGAAGACCACGGTCATCTTCGTGCAGTCACCTGAAGAAACACCAGCACCCTACAATAGACTTCGTCAGGCTTGGCAATCCTGCTATCTCGAAAGATGGGAGCATGCATGCGCACGTCCGCTGGGCTGGAGAGAAGCGTCAAAACTGGTGACGTCACACGCCGTGCCCGGAGTAGTGAGCAGGCCTGAATTACTTTTCTAGGTGGCATTGGCTCGGCCGGTACAATTTTTGTTTCTTTTTTGTTTCGTGGTTGCGGCTTTGTGTCACAAGGCGTCGCCCTCTGAAATGTCTCGATCGAAACATGTTATTTTGGTATTTTATGTGACGTTATTTGGACTCCTGTAAACTCCCGTTGTAATGGGAGTTTTATCTTTTAAATATTTCTTCCTCGGCGCTTTAAAGTCATAGGTTAACAAGTGCATCAACGAAAAATATTCATCGCTTGCGTACAGGTTCTTCACGACGCCCTCATTGAAAACCAGACGGCTGAGACATTCGAAGCAGCGTGCAAGCCCAAGGCAGCCGGCACGCAGCTCCTCGACCAGTTGTCGCGACAGCTTTGCAGAGAGCTCGACCATTTCGTGGTGTTCTCATCCACGTCGTGCGGACGCGGCAACGCCGGCCAGACAAACTACGGCTACGCCAACTCCGTCATGGAGAGAATCTGCGAGTGCCGTGTCGCTGATGGACTTCCCGGTGAGGAATATCAATTTAACTTGCCTTAAGGTCAACGAACTTCTCACGTTTAAAAAGTACGCACACCTCTGTGAAGTCCAACCATGTGACCAGAGCAGTGTGACCAGTGAGACCTAAAACAATATTGGTGGGGAAATCATTTCGTGAAAGTAAAGCCACATAGGCAGCCTCATTTCTAGGGGAATGATGAAAAGTTGCCCAGAGTAACTCATTTAAATAATTTAGTTTAGATATTGCCAACCACATTTGTAGAGTCATTGTAATTAGAGAGCATGATGTCGTATTATTCTGCATTCGATATTCAGGCGTTTGAGCGGTATATTGAATAAAAAACATTTTAGTGGTTCATTTTGCCGGAATAATGTTGGCCGTTTGGACGGAAGACAGAGTAATTAGGAGAACTCAATTTGTCAGGCGCCCGGCGACCTCAAGACTGACGAATTGGCCGGATGGGCAGTTGTGGATGCAGTTATTCATGTGCCGCTACTTTTCATAGAAGCCTAAGCATATTGGCAAGTTTTTAAATGTCAGAGTTTTTCTTTCGAAAAGACTTTTTTGTAAGGTGCAACCATTACGTATTTGTCATTAATATGATATACACATGAAATTGCCAAATCAGTCTGCGGAATCCTGTATGGGAAGGAAAAGTTATGAAAGGCAAAGCAGAGAAAATAAACAAATATGGTCAAACCTGCATTCACAATTCGGCCGGTCCAAAGGCATATATACTTGCACGTGTGCGTTGAACTTCATGCCCCAACCATGCACCATATTTGGGTTATATTGACTGAAATTCGTCATCGAACCAGCCTACTGGTATTTGACCAAGCAATGTAGTATGACAAAGAGTGCGCTAGTCGTGTTAAATTACCAGCATTTTTACATTGTCGTTCTGTGTCAAGTACAATACACAAAAAGTTTCAATTATTACTAGGCAATTCTATGCTCTATCACAGGACATAACTCTGCCTGAAATTACGAATTCTTGAGTAAAGTGAGACTGCTTGCGAGAGAAAAAAATTAATGGATGTTTTGACATTCACGGACAACAGTAGCTCACCATCAACTCGATTCGATCACTCAGAGTCCAGGATGATTAATTTTTACAATTAATTTTGCATCTAAGCAGCTGTTTTGCAATGATTTGAAGGTAGCTTGAGCATCAAGAAGTCTTAGTTTGCAGTTTGTTACGGTACAGGGTAAGTGTATAGAGCCGTAACCTGTGCCCTTAGAAACACCTGTTTTCAACGACGATTTGGAAGAAACGTACACGTATGCTTCTGTGCATCGCTCGGAAGTTTGTGACCAGCTGAATATAGAAAATAGTTTATTTATTCTTTGTCGTTTTTGTTGCTAAGTACGCTAAGACATTTCTCAGCAGTGCGTGCTTCGTTTGTAGGAGACTGCATAAAATACATCCAAACTCTTAATTGTTTTTTTTTCGGTGCAGGGTTGGCTATTCAATGGGGCACAATTGGTGGCGTTGGACTGATCGGCGAAATGATGGGACAACAAACGTTCCTGCTTGGCCTTGCGCCTCAGAAAATTAGGTCTTGCATGGCAGTTATGGACCAGTTTTTGAGCCAGGGTCACCCCGTGGTTTCCAGTTATGTAAAGGCCGATCTGTCCCGAAAACCTGGCGACAAGGAAAAACACAGCCTCATTGAATCTGTGGCTCGTATACTTGGTAAGTACGAACAAATTGCAAGAAATACAAACGAGAAAGGCTCAAGGGACACGTTTCTGCAGTAAATGACTTCACAAGAGAACTTTTTATCCTAGTGAATATAAATATACGTAGGGCAGAAAGTGCCCTTCCTGTTTCTTGTCGCTTTAGGAGAGGCGAAATATTTCCTGCCACCCTTCATGAATGCCTACCAGGCCTGCTTCTGCCCATCCGTTTTCTTCGATGAATTAATATTGCATGCTTGTACTACTCTGCTATTGATTTAAGCATACGCTAACTATTCTGCACAGATAATGAAGGCTGATTGCCAGTAATACATTCATGTTTTTCCTCCAAGCTGCGCAGCATTTTCTTAGTATTTTGCTTGTTTATTTTCAGCCCTACTTTCCTACTTGCCTGTTGAGACCTTCAGTCACTTGTCGCAGTTTATCGTCAGTATTTTTAGTATTGCAAAACACGCCTAATGCCATCTCGAAGTAATGTTGCTGAGTTATTATCTGGTAACCTCTATTTTCATTTGTCGACAACCTAGCCGCTTCAAAACCTCTAATTAGTGCGCAATGAAAGACATCAAAACAACTTTGCTTTCTTTTTGCCCCTGAAAGCTACACCTATCAATTACAATTCCAACGGTCACCTCGTTTCGCCAATTTAGTGAGTTCACACGTTTTCGCAAGCATCCCAGTCTACTGTGTAAAGAAATGGTGGTTAGATGCAGTGGTTGCATATTTGTTTCTTGTGTATACTCGCAAACGAGCTATAATAAGGACCGAAATATCTGTCGAAAGTACTCCACCTGCTTCTTATATTCCAGGCACTTCAGTCACTTGGTTTGGATCTAAGGCCACTCATTTCTCTAGGTAGATTGCAATGAGTTTTTAAAGAACAAGGTGGTGAGTACGACCAGGCAAAAAAGCAGCAATGAGTAGGTGGAGGAGAACCAGCTAGACTCATACACTCAGCAGCTTCACAGTGGTCAGCCAGAAGCACACGATAGGCATGATATATGCAGTGAATAAATAGAGAAAATTGACCGTCAGTATCAATAAATACGAACCCATGAAAACACTGCGCATCGTGGAAGTGAAATATAATGGTAAACGATGTATTTCTTTACAAGCTGTTGGTATTTCCTATTTATCCCAAATGGCTATTGTCTTCCGAGAGTGTAAGGCATTATTTTGGTTTTTCCATATGAAATTACATGTGTGTACATGCTTTTAAAAAGAGCCCAGTATAGAATAGGTAACAGATGGTGTTAAAGGACAGCTTAATCACAATGAACAAGAAATGGGCAGGGTATGTAGAACGCCGGAAAGACACAGGTGGGTATTGATAGCAACAGACTCGTCCAAAACAAGGCAAATATGCGAGAAGGAGGCAGAAAGTTAAGTGGCTAGTTTAGATTAAGAAGTTGGCAGGTATAACGTGGCTGAAGCAAGTACACGACAGGCTTATTCGGCAGAACATGGGAAAGGTTTCTGCTTTGCAGTGAGGTGCAGTCAGTTCGATTATGATGGTGATGGTTCACTTTTGTCAAATTTCTGTCACGTCACACTTGAGTTAAAAATGCACCTGTATTTCATTATTTTCGCGCCATTTTGTCTTTGTCGGCGTGCATGTTCTCAAAGGCGTCCAGGACGCATCCAGACTTAGTCCAGACATCAGCCTCGGTGAGCTGGGCATTGACTCCCTTATGAGCGTCGATGTGAAGCAGACCTTAGAACAGGACTGTGACGTCACCTTGTCCACGCAAGAGATTCGGCAACTCACCATCGCTCGGATTCGACAGATTGGTGAATGTCACAGAGATGCTTCATCTTCGCAAGGGAAATCTAGCGCAGCTCATGGAACGAAAGGTGAGCAACGTCACCGTCACACCCTATGTGCAGTTCAGTTGAAAAACTCTCGAAGAGCACACGAACATCATTGTTTCATATATAAGTGTGTCGTTAAATTTTTCGCAGTGCTCTTACAATTATGTGGTGCTATCTTAATGTGCATGAGGACGAACGAATATAACAATAAATATTAACGATGATAGATATAGTTTCATTTCGTAAAAGAGTAAAATTAGGATCACGGCGTCACAGCATGCAAATTCTGTAAAATGTGTGTGGCTTGATGCTGCCCATCGAATTCAGAGTTCAATTCTCCAATTTCACTAGCTACAACATTAACCAACTATAAATAATGTCTTACAGATAAGGGGTGGGCACCGCATGTGTTAGTCGAGTGATGAATATGGATGTAGCCTTCCAGACATCACATAAACTGCCAAGTCTGCGCAGAACGCGCCGCACAGTCACCACGAAAGCTGCAAGAGTGGCCGTTCAGAGCATTATTTAAACATTCTTTGGGTAACTGCTTCAAGCATATTTGCAGGATACCCACTACGCCATGAATTATAGTTTTTGCGTAGTTGGCAGGCGTTGTTGTTGTTGTTGTTGTTGTTTTCCTCTGCACACAGTTTGTACACAAAGGGGAGGATTGGAAGATTATAAGCTATTCAGCAAGCGTCAAAGCAGTGAATAGAAAACTTGCGATAGGCAAAAATCGGTTTTATGCACTAAAGGATAAAAAAGGCAAAATAACCACCAATATGGATAGGATAGTTAAAATAGCGGAGGAGTTTTACAGAGATCTGTACAGTAGCAGGGACAACCACGAACTAGCAGTAACCCAGATGGCACCGCACCAGTAATGATAGGAGAAGTCAGAAAAGCTTTGGAGAGCATGCAAAGAGGCAAAGCTGCTGGTGAGGATCTGGTAACATCAGATCTGCTAAAAGATGGAGGACGGATTGCGTTAGAAAAACTAGCCACCCTGTTTACGAGGTGTCTCCTCACGGGAAGATTACCAGAGTCTTGGAAGAACGCTAGCATCATCTTAATACATAAGAAAGGAGATGACAAGGACTTGAAGAATTACAGGCCGATCAGCTTGCTCTCTGTAGTATACAAGCTATTTACAAAGGTAATTGCTAACAGAGTAAAAAAAACGTTAGAATTTAATCAACCAAAGGAACAAGCAGTATTTCGAACAGGCTACTGAACAATCGACCACATTCAAACTATCAATCAGGTAATAGAGAAGTGCTCAGAATATACCCAAACACTATACACAGCCTTCATAGATTACGAGAAGGCGTTTGATTCAGTAGAAATATCAGCCATCATGCGGATACTGCGGAATCAGGGCGTCCATGAAGTATATATAAATGTCCTGGAAGAAATCTACAGGGTATCAACTGCCATCATAGTGCTTCATAAAGAAAGCAATGGAATACCAATCAAGAAGGTTGTAAGGCAGGGGGACACAATCTACCGAGTTCTATTTACCGTGTGCTTACAGAAAGTTTTCAGAAGCCTAGAATAGGAACAGTTAGGGATAAGAGTTAATGGAGAGTACCTTAGTAACCTGCGCTTCGCCGATGACATTGCATTGCTGAGTAACTCAAGGGATGAATTGCGCTGACCCGCAGGTCGCGGGTTCATATCCCGGCTGCGGCGGCTGCATTTTCGATGGAGGCGGAAATGTCGAGGCCCGTGTGCTCAGATTTGGGTGCACGTTAAAGAACCCCAGGTGGTCAAAATTTCCGGAGCCCTCCACTACGGCGTCTCTCATAATCATATGGTGGTTTTGGGACGTTAAACCCCACGAATCAATCAATCAATCAAGGGATGAATTGCAACTCGTGATTACGGAGTTAGACAAGGAGAGTAGAAAGATGGGTCTTGAAATCAATCTGCAGAAAACGAAAGTAATGTACAAAAACCTCGGAAAAGTGCCGCGCTTCGAGATAGGTAATAGTGCACATCAAGTTGTCAAAGACTATGTCTACTTAGAGCAGGTAATAACCGCGGAGCCGAACCACGAGATTAAAGTAACTAGAAGAATAAGAATGGGGTGGAGCCCATTTGGCAAGCACTCTCAATTTACGACAGGTAGATTGCCACTATTCCTTAAGAGGAAGGTATATAACAGCTGCATCTTGCCGGTACTCAGCTATGGAGCAGAAACCTGGAGACTTACAAAGAAGGTTCAGCTTAAATTGAGGACGACACAGCGAGCTATGGAAAGAAAAGTGGTTGGTGTAACCTTTAGAGACAAGAAGAGAGCAGAGTGGATAAGGAAACGAACGGGGGTGAAGGATATCATAGTTAAAATCAAGAAGAGGAAATGGACATGAGCTGGGCATGTAGCGCGTAGAAAGGATAACCGCTGGTCATTAAGGGCAACTAACTGGATTCGCAGAGAAGAAAAATGGGTTAGGGGGAGACAGAAAGTTAGGTGGGCAGATGAGATTAAGAAGTTTTCGGGTATAAATTGGCAGCAGCAAGCACAGGACCGGGTTAAATGGCGGAACAAGGGAGAGGCCTTTGTCCTGCAGTGGACGTAGTCAGGCTGATGGTGATGATGTTGATGATGATGTTGTTGTTGATGATGATGATGATGATGAAGCTATTCACTATGCTGTCCTTGGTGATCCCTCACAGAAGCGTAATACCCGCTACACACCTGCAAAAGATTTCAAGCAATTTTTTGATGCTGTGGCTGATGACGATAAAAAAATTGTACCTGGAGGTTTTCAAAGATGATAGTCTTTCTTGGGGACTTTCCACGCAAAAATTTTGGTCTGCCTGCCTGTCTGTCGGTCTGTCTGTCTGTCTGTCTGTCTGTCTGTCTGTCTGTATAATTGTCTGTTTGTCGACTCTTAACGGCACCGGGTATTTGAAACGGCTGACCCCATCCGCAGCGCCCACCAATGTTGCTCAAAATTTAGCGTTCTTACGTGTGCAATTGTCAATAAATAAGTAATTAATATGCGAGTCTGGGGCACCTTAACGACACGTATGCATTCTTCATGTGCATCTTTCACTAGAAAATGCATACATACGTAATTTTAAGGACCGTAGCGCTTATCACGCTGCGCTGATCATGCAACGCTTCAAAAAAAAAGGTGAGTGTTTCCAAAGCTCCGCTAAGACGCGATGGTAGAGGCACCTACCCATCGCCTTACGTTCCACACCTTATCACCTCTGAGACGGGCGCGCACACCTGCCTCAGAGCCACGTGCTTCGTTTTCAAAAAACACTGCCAGGTGGCGCTCATGTCTTACGAGTGACGTGACTTGATGCGCTCGTTCACCTCCACTGCACGTTCGAGACACTCAAACGCAGCACCTCCAAAATACCTTTCTCCGACTTTCTTGCGCAGAACATCAAATGAATTGTTTGCTCTCTCCGCACGCAAGACTATCGTCTTTTGACGACATTTGCAGATTACATGCATATACGGGGAAAACGTTTATTTTGTTTTCATTATATATAACACTGTAATTTACTGTCTAATCTGTAATTGTTCTAATATATAACCTACGTTATTCTAGAGCTTCATATTATTTTATAAAAACCACTGATTTCTTAGCCCATCACCCCGCCCCCTTACACACACACAGCGGATGCGCGTCACAGTAAATAGGTGAATTACACAATGCACGTTTTGTGACACCTGGTTGTTCCTTCATTGTTGTAAAACGCTTTATTACTTATATGAACGCGATTTCTATCCCGACATCAAGCCTGCCTAAGGGCAGTTTGCTTTGAAGCACAGGCGTGGCTGTGTGGTAGAATACTCAACTGGCATGCAGGCAGCCCGGGCTCGAATACCCGTGTTTTCTTGTGTTTTTATATTCACTTACTGTTTCCTCAATTCGCTCGATAGCGGTTACGAATACCGGTGCCGGACGACTACGGCGCACGTGACACTTGCTGTGATCTCATAACAGCTTTCACTGTATAATAATATGCCTCGCGAATACCTTGCTACTGTCTTGACAGACAGACAGGCAGACGAAGAACTTTACTATATTAAGTCCTGACGAGTTCTCGCGTAGAACCTTGTCGGGGACCCACGGAAACCGTTGCTCGCGTCCGATTCGGGGCTGGAAGAACGTGGTGTTTCTCCCTTTCTTGGGCTTTCTGGATTGCCTGGAGTTCCGTATCTAGCGATGAGCTCCGGAGATCCTTTTCCCAGTCGGCTTCACTGTTTAAAAGAAAGAAATTTATGTTTATGTAAAAACGAACACAGGAAAAAATAGACTGAGAAGACAGAGCGCTCTGTCTCTCTGTTTCTCTCTGTGTCGCTCTGTCTTTCTGTTTAGCGCTCTGTCTTCTCAGTCTATTCTTTCCTGTGTTCGTTTTTTTGCCTCGCGCTACATAAATTTCTTTCAAATATTTCATCAACAAGCCCACATCGCCACTCTTGTCAATGTTTCAGAGGGCCATTAAGAAATGGGGGGCATTGCCAAAGCGTGCGCGCTAAGAAACAATATGTTTTATTGCGCTCCAGACAGCTCTGCTGGAGTACGACTGAAAATCATGTGAAGGGAATGAGCCTATCGGGAGTATACGAAATTTGACTGGCTGAGGTCTATATATGTTCGGGTGAGGAAGATGATAGGCCCTTCTACTAAGCTGAGAGTGGGAGGTGATTTCACTGAAAGTAAGGAGCGGATCATCAAGCTGGTTTCACCCTGCCCAATAAGACCTCCATGCAACCGCGGTGGGTGAGATTTCGCGCATGGCCATGCATGGGCAAGGTCGTTGAGGTTAGGTATCGTGCTATGAAGTAGTATCCCGTAGATAGTTTACTACAGGCTCTGTAAACTCCACTCTTTTAGCTTTCGAAGTTACAGTGTTTTGGTCGCGATCTGGCCTTGTGTTCATTTAGTAAAACACTGTTTGTATGACGTTAAAACCGAGGTGATTTGTGCACAGAAATGTTCGCAGTTATGAGCTACAAAAATAAAAAAGGCTTACACAAATTATGCACTCCATCAGTTTATGTAATGTGACGCAGAAATTGGGCAATCTCCAATACTCTAGTAGAACTGTTGGAGAGTGCACGTGGGATGTACAAAGAATTTCTCATTGTTCAAGATGTCAGCTATTCTGCTTTTTTTGCCTTAGGGTGGTCAGATGTGTAAGAAGGTTGAATTTTACCTTTTCCGTTCATGTTTTTTCAATAAAACTTCAGTTGCGAGTCAGCGCTGCCATTTGTCTCCTTCTGCGTCCGCTTAGCTATGCACTGTGTCAAAACATGTTCAACTTAGGCAGGCCCACTTATAACCAGTGGACGAACTGGTTGCATGCGTTATCTTTGGTAGCGAGTTTCTAATTGTGCGTTATATGCTTTCAGTTTAAGCTCAGTTGTTTACAATTCCATTATTCTTGTTCCTTCATGGTGCATACTGGGGATCAGGGATGCAAGCACTTCGTTTTGGGGACCTGGAGGCTGGTGACGTAAAAGGTATAGCAATCCATATTTGCAAGCTTCGCCCTTGGTATTCCATATGCGAGTCATTGTGGTTGAAACATCGACCGAGAAAATACATTCGGTTTCATGGCAATTTTGTGACGTTTAGGTGTGCTTTCAAACGTTCTCTTTTTTGAATTTTGTTGTTTAGCTTGGATAGTTTTCGAGGTGTACTGCGATCACATAATAAAGTTAATCTTGATATGTGCGGAAGCAATAGCTACTTATTTTGCCGCTTTCAAGGGGTCAACTTTCTTTAAAGGGCCACTCACTAGGTTTGACAATTTTGAGCTGACAAGCGCATTGCGAGGACGAGGCATTCAAGATCACGTCTGCCAAAATTTGCAACGCCACGTGCCGCGGAAATGGGTAAAATTTCATGAACGCTGCTCCCCTTCTCTTTTTTCGGCGCGCGCCCAGAGATTGAGGGCATGACGTGGGCGTATGAATAGCTCTACGTATACGGCAATGCAGTGACGTTGGTCTTCTACGTAGACGACCCTGCTCTGATGTTTCAAACAGTGGCACGTGACATGGCAAACATTATTTAACATGGCGTGTGTAGTTTATCTAATTTGTTGCTCGAAGAGACTAATAAAGCAGTAGATAAAAAATGAGACGCGATAAGGGAATGTGAGCGTCTTTTTTCCAAATTTTCTCCCGTGAATTACAACAAGATGTGGGGCTAATGTGTCGGCGTTTTGCATGCGTTTGTCTACCCGTGGTCAGGACATCGATCGGACGACTGCCATGGAACGCTCCTACGCGCTCGCGCACTCATTGCACTAATCTATTCTACCACGTCTAAGTAAGCGTTTCCAAACCATCCCGCAGAAACAGGCAGAAGACCACAAATAACGCTGGTCAACAAAGCAACGCCGCTCGCATGCTAGGGGGTTGGACTTGTTTGGGCACGTCATGCGCACGTGACCACTTGGTTGGATGTCTGAGAGGGTGGGAAAAAGATTTGGCTTGCGAAGGCTACGCTGAGGAGCGGCAAGGGTTTCCAGCTTGCCTCCTCTTATCCTGGGTTCGCGCCGCTTCAAAAAACCCGCACTCTCCGCTCGTAAAGAACAAATTCAAAAAATTTTTGTGGCAACATTTTCCTCATGAGACACCCAAACTTCCACTGTCTAACTAAAATTTGGTTTGGGACCTGGTGAGTGGCCCTTTAAAATGAGGCCGTGCTTTTATTCACTTTGCTTTCATCACGTCACAAAGGAGCCGTGAAAAAAATTATTATGTGTAGCGAGTAGAGTTACAACCAAGGAGGATTATAAAACTTTTTCTTTAATCCTCCTTAGTTACAACAGTACCTGCAGTAAATTGAATGTCTCGGTCTCTTTATCACACATTGTAATAATGTGGGCTCACAGACATTCATGCCAAGAAAATTATAAGAGATTTTATTAAGAGTTTTTGTGATGTAAATGTGATGAAAGAAAAGGGGACGAAAAGATCAACTGCGGCCAGCAGAAACATAACGTGCAACCTTCAACTTACGCGTCCGGTGCTTTTCCGGTAATCTACGACGTAACTACGGCGTGAACAGTAAGTAGATCATATACAGTAGCTGCATAGCTGCATTCATCTGTATTGGCCCTTTGTATTTTTGTTACACCCCTGGTGAGGTGTCAGAGATGCCAGCAAATATGGTCACACATTGGACTACGTAATATCTAGCTGTTACACAACCTGAATTATTCAAATCGCCGCATAGCTCAGCGTAGGCTAGTTGATGTTATCTGTGCTATCTATGTTTCTCAGGGCTGCAATGGCAAAATCAAGGTCATCGGGGTGGATTGCCTCCATGCATGGCTCGTGTGTGACCAAGGAGCTCACCTGTGCGAAGCCATCACCAGTCAGCTACTGCAACAGTGCGGACAGTGCGACAGTGTGGATCAACACGTTTTGCTGTAGTAAATAAATAAAATGAAGAAATGTACCATCTTATTTAAGATTCAAATGCTATAGCATTATTAGTGTTGTTTGTGTGATGACATTTGCTCTTTGCCTGTATGAACAAAAGCAAAATTGAACGTCGAATAAGTAATGTGGATGGGAGACCTTTCTTGAGTGACAGCACAGCGTAGCAACAGTGCAGGAACGTTGAAACAGGATGTCTAGGGATCGACGAACAAGTGGGTATGCAGTCAGAAGGTGGACACTGAGAGTGGGTCAGCAATCAAAAGGTGGACTCCGCGAGGGAAGTTGCACAGCTGTTCGAGCAGATTGTATCCCTTTGTAGTAAATTCACGCACCACAAAAATACAGGAGCTCTAGCAGGCTGCGTTTTTACTTGCGAATTATTAATCGTGATCAAAGCATTTCTGTTTGTCCCTGGAGTGTTTTAGAGCGGAGGATATCCAGGAGCAGTGTTTGCCTCTGTGCAGTGACACCCTGGGTGTCACTGCTATCACAGTGTCGTGGTATGAGGTAACAGCAGCAGACTTGCGCACTATATCTACCCACATCTCCATAGATGGTGATGAAGGGTCAGCAGCAACTACATCTACGTGGTCTACAGAAGAGACACGAACTTCGTTACACTGTTCGAGCTTTGCCAGGGCTTTGGACAGCTTACCATATTGAAGTCGCAGCTTCGCGTGCCCATTTTTCTGCTGGCGCTGTTGCCATGCCGTATCAAGTCTTGCTACAAGGTCCTCGCCTGCATGCCTGATGGCATTACGCAGCAGTCAGTTGAACCTGTTAAAATAATGATCTGAAACGATAAAAATTTGTGCATATTGTAATATTTCCAGCACTCGAGTTCCTAAGGACGCTGTTTAATAAATATGTTGAAAAAATGGTGAGGGAAAAGGAGAAGGTTGCTCAATCATTAACGTATATTTCGAATTTACCAAAAAGGGCGCTAGTTTAGTAGCGGCAATTGTTTGAAATTTTAAAATAGCTAATTTTTTATGTATCTGTTGCAATGAGAATATTCAAGTGGCATTACTTTAAAGCAACTCTCATAAACAACTTAACTGAGTGAGCGAAAAGAAATGAAAGTATCAACTCACAAAGCAGTTCGTGCTTCTCAAGTATATTACTAGTTATCTGAGCTCTATTCCGTGCGCTAACTTTTCATTGTGCGCAGTGTACAGGTATCTTCTTTTTGGACTTCAAACTTTTTTCGCGCACAGTAGAGATTAATAGAAAAATAGGAAGTATCCACTATATCACTAGTTATCTGAGCTCTATTCCATGCGCCAACTTTTGATTGTGCGCAGTGTCCAGGTATCTTCTTTTTAGACTTCAAACTTTTTTCGCGTGCACAGTAAAGATTAATAGCCAACTCACCCAGCAGTTCGTGCTTCATAAACGAATGACACATCCTATATATTGCCAAGGTTTTTTGGATATTTGGCGGTAGAGCAGCACCGTCACCGCCTGAACAGTCCGAAGGCGTTGTCAAAAAAAACTTTGGTTAAGAAAAGCTACTGTGTGAAAGTAAATATTGGGGGACCCTCAAGCTTCGCCTTTAAGATTTGAACGCGAAAGTGAAATCTGGCCCTTAGTGCACCTCTAAAGTGCTAAGTGCATACCTAATAATATGTTTTGTTGCATTCCCACGCACGCACACAAACACTATCACAGTAAATTGGATCAGCACGCGCTATTATCGCCGAATGGGCTTGTTTTTGTCATGACGCCTTTCGAAAAAATGCGTTAAAGGGGCCCTGACACACTTTTTCAAGTAACCATTCAAGTAACTTTTTCAAGTAACCAATTAAATAGAAGAGCTTATTGTCTCACGAATTTAACGCTGCAAATATTTTAAAAATCTGTCCAGTGCGAGTGGAGTCACAAAGGTTTGTCACACGCCACAATTGCATTAACTCTTCTCTCGTCCCGACGAGAGCACAGAAAGATAAGAGGGCAGGGGTGGCCGGCTAACAAAACTACCACGCCTCGTGACCATGAGCATTTTTTTTCTTCGAATGCGCGGCTTTTTAGTGTAATCACGCGCGAACCCGTAGAGGAGAAGCGGCCTTCTGTGGCTATCTCGGTAACTTCATTTTTCGGTTACAGACGCACACACGATTGTTCGCTCAGAACCAACGTGGCCGACGCTGCCAGCGGGTTTCCTGAAATACGAGCTCTTTACCGCTATCGCGTTAAAAACATCGAAAGTCGAGTTCAGTCTCCAAAAGTGGAATGCAATAGCGCAGTGAGCACCATTTTCAATGCCTTCTTGTCTTTATTCTTTTGGCTTGTCTGTGTTTGTTCGTTATTCCTCATTTCCCTCCTTCTTTCTCTCCTGTCTTTTTTATTTAGTGTCTTCCCTTCCCAAAAAAGCAGGCAGGCGTTGTGCCTCTATAGGCTGCAGTTGAGAGCCTGTTCCTTCCCTATTTCCGCTGTGTCTTCGTGTGTTTTGAAGATGCAAAGTAAAAAAAATGGCCGATCTCACGAACAGTCGGAATCAATAATATGCGAAGCACGAATGAGAAATGTTTATATGCCGCTTTAAGATCAGCACAATGTTTCGAGGTGGAGGTGAATGATGCTGTTCATGACTTCCATGTCATGATTATAAAGTATGGATGCGTCGTTTACCTGCGTCCTCTATTTGTACCTGCGTCGTTTACCTGCGTCCCAATTTTGTATATCTGGAGCTAGCTAAACGGCCGCGAGCACGCTATGAGCCTGGTAAGTCGTCATGTTCTTACATGACACGAGTGTCTGGATTACCATGTTCGCGCCATTCATATATTTCGTAATGCATTGACGTCAGGTACCACCAAATTTGGTATATAAAATAGCCGCGAGCGCAACATGATGGCCCAATAAACTCCAATGTAGCGTTGATGCACATGCATGCTGGGCACAGTGACACAACGTTAGCAAAGCGCGAGCACTCTATAGTCTGACGCCAGGCGCGACCAGCGTCCAACGGTGCGGCCCGACGGCAACCGCTGCGAAATCGACAGCTGCATTTCACATTGATGCGTTACCCACGCAACACTGTGTTACCCTCTTTCCATGACGGAGGGACGCCGGACGCGCTGAAATGTGCATGCGTCAAAGCAACGTAGCCGCGCGCATGCCGGCGAGTGACCGGCGCCTGGCGTGGCAACGCCGGATGACGCGACGAAATGAACGCCGGAGAGCGCGAGCACCATGTCACGTCGAAATGAATTAGCGCCTTGCCTGTGCCATGTAGTCATGTTCTCACATGATACGCATCTTATGATCATCATATTTGCACCAGCCACATACCTTCGTCCTCCATTGGCGTCACGTAATGCTAAATTTGACATGTGTGGAGCTAGCGAAACGGCCGCGAGCACATTATCAGTTTGGCATGTAGTCATGTTGTTACATGACACGCATGTCGTGATTATCATGTTTGGATGTGTCATTTACGTATGTTTCCGTTCTCGTTGCTTAATACCGAGTTTGGTACATGTGAAGCTCGCGAAACGGCTTCGAGCGGATCATGAGCGTAGCATGTAGTCATGTTGTTGCATGACACGCATCTCACGCAACTCATGTTTATAATGTTTGCACCAGTATCATACCTTAGTCATCCATTCACGTCCCGTAATACCGAATTTGGTAGAAGTTAAGCTAGCGAAACGGCCGCCAGCGCATCATGAGCGTGGCATGTAGTCATGTTTTTACATGACACACATCTCATGATTATCATGCTTGCACCTAGTATCATATCTTCATCATCCATAGACGTACTGTAATGCGAAATTTGGTATATGTGACGCTACCGAAACGGCCGTGAACGCACCATGAGCGTCGCATGTAGTCATGTTGTTACATGACACGCATGTCATGATTCTCATTTCAGGGTCTGTCGTTTGTGTTCGCCATGCAATCATGCCATACCTTACCAGTTTTGCAACATTCATGTGAACGAAACCACCGCAAGAGCTGCAGGACCATGAAATGTAAATCATTACATGCATGACATACATGTCGTGATTTTCATGTTATGACTAGCAAATTGTGTTCCCCATACAGTCTTGTTATGCCATACCAAGTTTGGTATCGATACCATTATCGAAACATCCAGGAGAGCTAAATGTTATAGACGGCTAGATAGATAGATAGATAGATAGATAGATAGATAGATAGATAGATAGATAGATAGATAGATAGATAGATAGATAGATAGATAGATAGATAGATAGACAGATAGATAGATAGATAGATAGATAGATAGATAGATAGATAGATAGATAGATGCGCTCTCAGTCGCCGAAGTTCGCTAAGAAATGCTTTGCATTTAATAATGTTCTCAACAGTGCCACAGAGAAAGTAAAGCGAAGATCAAGCCGAAGATACACCCGGGTTTCTATTGCTGCGTGCGTAATCCACGTTCTTGTTGGACATGTGCTACTTCGACTGTAAAAGTCATCACTGCTTTATTAATACTTTTAAATTCGAAGCACTTCTTAGCGAACTTCCGCGACTTTGAGAGTATCTGTCTATCTAGCCGTCTACGTTTGAGTGCTCTCGTTGTCACGCCCCTAGCTGGGCGCGAACCAAAATCAGCATGGGAGGGTAAGATGGTTTGACGAATATGACGCGATGGTCAAGACATGAATTATGTCACAATTCCGTCGCGTATGTCATCAAGCACTTCCGGCCAGACAGTGCCCGAAAGGGCTTGACGACACATACCCACGGGTGGGTATGTGTCTCTGCTATGCGGGCATGTGTCACAGGTGATTGACACTTCGTATCTACTTATGAACGAAGAGAACACACATGGACAACTTTAACGCGTGGGTGTTAAGAAATACCCGACATAGGTTGCGTCCAACCGACAAATGCATAGAATAAATGGAAGGGTCCCAGCTGAAATCAAACCTAAGCATTCTGCGTGGCAATGAAGCATTCTACCATGTTGCTATGCCAGGTCTCTGAACTACTTTTCAAATAGACGCTAATCTTCATGAAACTTCAATATTGGTTGCAGTGCTGCCTGCCCAATTTATTAAACATTATATATGCAATTCTTTGATGCAGCCCTCACGTCAGGTTAGCATAAATCGTGCTAAGTTGCCATGCGCTCCAGTTGATATTTG